GTGCTGGTGTTGCGATGGTCTTGTGCTGGTGTTGTGATGGTCTTGTGATGGTCTTGTGGTGGTGTTGTGATGGTCTTGTGGTGGTGTTGTGATGGTCNTGGTCTTGTGTTGGTGTTGTGATGGTCTAGTGTTGGCGTTGTGATGGTCTTGTGTTGGTGTTGTGATGGTCTTGTGCTGGTGTTGCGATGGTCTTGTGCTGGTGTTGTGATGGTCTTGTGTTGGTGTTGTGATGGTCTTGTGTTGGTGTTGTGATGGTCTTGTGTTGGTGTTGTGATGGTCTTGAGAGGTCTCGACTACAACGCTGATCTTTGCCTATTTTGCCCGAAACTTGAGCCCTTTCCTCAAATGTTATTATTTCTGATAGTCCTAGGCGTAGTGGTGCATGAAGGCAACCATAAAATGTCTCCTCCATGAGTCCATATCGTTGCCAGCACAATCGTCACAAACTTCAAGAATCAAGCAAATGGCTAATTCAACTCAAAGAATACAACAACTTTATCAAGTCACTTGCTTCGGTTCTCTCTGGGAGGATTTGGCAGTTTCAGGGTGGGGGAATCAATCTCCAAGATCCTTCCCTCTTCCCAAACTTCCAAGTCACAACCAGACCTCTGCCGGGATGGCAAAAAAAGGGGGTTAAGCTTTGACCCTAGGCAGGAGGACAGAGGAAGAAACCTCCCACCTCAAGAAAGTCACGTTCTAATTAAGGGTGAGACTTACACTCCCCCTCAAAAAAAAAAAAAAACCCACTAATGAAAACGAGTAGAGAGGATCTGTAGTATGCAATAATCTGATGGCCTTGACAGCTCCCGACAATGTGGAGTCCAGAATAATTTGGGGGAATTAGAAATAGCTTGATCAGTAACCCCCTCCCTTGTCAGGGGCAGTTGGGTAACGACTCATCACAGAGAAGTGAAGAAAGAGGGTCTAGAGGGAGATAAGGATATTGGAAAGGGAACTTGCAGAAGTGGGGAGGGAGCAAGACTCCATAAATCATAATCACAGGGGCGATACTCGGGAAACCAGAACATTCATAACACAACATGCGGCACTCCAAGTCAAAATGGGTAGTGTGTGAGGGGTTACCCCAAAGATATCTCATAAGAATTAGCACAGAAGTTTGTTTCAAGATTGCAGAAGTTCTTGTTAGTTTGTAATTCCAACAATCACTTCTGATATCAATGCAATAAGAAACAAATATAAACGCCTGGCTCATTTTCAAAGTGTTTTTCTTGTACATCTGTAAAGCACAGAAGTAATCTTGCACAACGAACACCGTGTAAGTGTATTCATCTTCAGGGCAGCCACATGGGTAATATGGTAAGTGGGAATTCAAAGACCCAGCAGGCCGCAACCCGCTGCATCAGCAGGAATCCAAGAGCCCTAGAAGCAGCCAGCCGCCCCAGAGGCAATTAGTTTACATAAACCAGGAAATCCAGCCGTAACTCTATCAGGAACGAGATCATACTAACATTAGACAGTGTGGTGGCGTTCCCTCAAACCGCTAGGCATAGACCTTTTATGACTAAGGCTGTGTGTCCTACGTAGCATTACAGTACACCCACAGGGAAAGACTGCCAAAGAAAAATCCCCACTGCCAGGAAAAAGAAATTCGTTTCTTCCCCTCTCCTGTGCCAGAAAAAGATCCAATGAGTGTAAAAGTACCATGTTCATGGGGAAGATGCTAGCCCAACTTTACATGACTTCATTTGACAGACTGTCATTGGGAGAGTGGGGTAGGGCCAATTTCTAATTCCGATGACAACATTCCCTGGGCTAAAATGTACCCGACTGGAACAATGGACCACCTCAGAATGGAACCAGTCGCCCCCACTTGGGTGCTGGCGATTTGTGTCACATTTTCAGACTTCTGTAAAAAGGAATTTCCAAAGTGTAACTTCGCAAAGTGAACATGTCACTTAACCTCAGACCAACTTAAAAATGTGAAACACACAAAAAGTTGATGAGAACCAGCAGCTATGGGGAAGTGGATAGTTTGTTTCCAAATCTGAAGAAAATGAGTTGATATACGCTAAGGAATCCCCAAGCTCTTAAAACTGTTATGCTCTCTTCAAACACAGAGCCCTGTGAAATTAAGCCATGCTCTGCATATGTAGATATACTGGCAATGATAAAGATAAGAAGATACACAGAGTATACCTGCTGCATTATTGATCTTGTCCCTGCCAGCTGAGGCCAATTTCATAGAGCTGCTTAAGCACAACATTTCCTTAAGCACAAAAACCTTGCTTAAAAAACAAGGGTTACCAGCTCCAAATCTAGGTGATTGTCATGTAATAACCAAACGACAGGTGAATACCATTCCAAAACAACATCACATGGAGTTTTGGCTGCTAACCTGATTTGCCAAGCAAGGTTTTTCACGCTTAAGCAAATTTTGTGCTTAAGGAGCTCTATGAAATTGGCCTCACTGTTAACAGTGACAACCCAAAAAGGTAAGACCATAGCAAAATGCAGTCAAAAGACAAAGAACATCAGCCCATCACAAGGATTCTTCATGTACCATATCAGTCTTATATTGCTCGCAATAATTTCCAACAATGAGAGTTCTACTTCCTTACAAATGTTTTAAGTCGTATGCGTAATCTGTAGATATGTTCCAATTACCAGTTTAAAGTAGCTCCAACTTAATAAACCGAATGTTCTTTAACAAGCACAGTTGTGATAACATACATAAGGCAAGACAATCTGTGAAGTCCAAAATAGTATGTGAAGCTCAAAAAACATATCTGGTATTAAATGCAAATAAAACAGTCCCATGAACAAAAAAATCTGAAATAAAATTCTGAAAACTGCTAGGACTCAACAGCTCCCTTGCAGTTGAAAACGCAGTCAGCTTGACTACAAATTTCTGCAAGTTTCAGGGAGGAATGTTTTCTCTTCAACATTCTAAAAATTGCCAAATGCACTCATTTACTATGGTACAGCATTTACAGATATGTACATGCATGCTCCAAAAACAACACTTACATGTCAATACATGCACATGGACAGAAGACATAACTCAGAGTTTATGAAATTGCAACAGCTAAAGAGTGACAAAAGTATACTCTGATTGATAGAACACACTATAAAACTTACAAAACAAACTTCTCCCCAAATGACGCCACACACTATGTCAATGACTTTCTTTCTGTAGAATACCTATTACACCATAAAATACTACTATTTTTTTCCAGCTGAGCAAAATTCAAGCAAATCTAGAAGTTGAACACTGAGATATGATAAATTTAAAGAGCACCTCTCAGGAAAACATGCTTTCTCTGATTTTATCTGTTCAAATAAGTATGGAAGCATCCAAATAGAATGCAGTGTCATTTGTCTTCAGAACTCAACAAGCTATTGGGCTTTTTCTGTTCATGCCAAGATGCGAAATTCTGAATGTAGCTTGCGTCATTTGGAGAAAACAGAGAAAACGAGGGGAGCCCTCGCCCTGTGTTCGTAGTGGATTGACCCTGTGCATACCAAATAATGCATGTAGCCAGTGTTTGGCATGCAAGCCCTTTTTAGCTTGTTATCGTTGAGCTCTGAAGACAAATGACACTGCGGTTGATGTGGATGCTTCCCTGTTTATTTGAACAAATAAAATCAGAGAAAAAATGTTTCCTTAGAGGTGCTTTTTAACCTAGTTCCATTTTTGTGTGGTTTCTAAACGAATTCTTTCTAACTTCACAAGACAGGATGAACAAGAACAAAGGAATGCTTCTGTCGCGGTTCATTTCAATGGCTTGTGAATTGGCTAAAACTGAATGACTTGTGATAGGCTCACACACCAATAACTAAATATTCCATGGATTCATGCATAAATGTTTGAACTTTTAGGAAAAGACAACCTAAAGCGACTTGGAATTTCATTTCCAGAGTAAGCAATTTAATAAAACGCTGAGCAAGGATTTTATATTACAAAATGGAATTTTGAGTCTGTATAGTCTATGTTGCCCTTGCAAATTGAGAATCTTGGACTAAGGCTTCAAGACTGTTGAAGAATCTCGCACCAGACAAATATCACTCACAGTGATGCTTTATGTTAAATGAAAACACACACTACATTTGTATCAGAAACAAAAGTCGTCATCAAAACCATTTTGGATTGGCTTCTCAGAAAAAAGAAACCAACGAAAATCTGGAAGATGATGCCAAATCCATGGCATTCTGTAAGTCTGAAGCTGCTCTATACAATTACTTCTCATTGCACGGCTCTTTTCATTGATCGTTTGTTTACTTGGACCTCTTGTAAGTCTCCTGCACTGGTCAAGAGGTTGGGCTGTTCTTCAGTCACATTAGCAAGTGGAAGCAAGGTGGCTGGTTAATTGCATGACCAACGCCACCTCTTTCCACCTGCTTACACTGTATCATTGTCATCTTTGAGACGGTGTTTTCAAGTTCACGAGTCAAAGGTTGAACAGATGAAAATGCTTAGCGGTGGCATTACCAACCAGAGCAGCTGATATTAAAGGAATAAAATACCTCCAAAAGGCTACTTTTCTTCGTACTTATTCAAGATAAGTGGCTGTTCATTTTCGTGTCCTTTCTCCTCGTGGGAAATTCCTGTTTGATGAATCTTGTCACAAACCACTCCTCTGTGACTAATCAAAATTTCAAGTTGCACCTGTGTTGCACCTTTGTTCATAGTGCACTTTAATCATGATTATTTACACTGCTGAATCCACACCATGACAGGACAACCGATATCAGAGTCTGTGCTTACAAATCACATTCCAAGCACTTTTTTTCACATGTTGCAACGGACTTGATTGCTTTGCACAGGTAAGGCCAAGCCAGGTTAAGCTAACATCAGTCGCGTCAATTTCAGTCTCCGTGCCAAATAAAAAGATTAAACAGGGCTGAATACGGAAGTCAAAATCCTCGGCTACTTCGAGCAGCATAGAGAAACAAAGGTTGTGTCATCCACATGACATCCAGCCAATGTATAATTCTGTATCCTGCCGACATTTGTTCTGATGCCCGACTAGGCNTAACACTCTCATCAATGAGCAAACATGTTGTCACGTTCCTCACCAGATTCAAAGGTGCATCCTTTCATCTCTTGACTACTGTAAGAAGCACAACATCCTCGACGGTTCCATTTTTGACACAATCTTCTCCAAAGATGCCCACTTTAAAGCAGCCCTTCAAATGGCAAATACATTCTCCCAACAAATTCCGATACACACAAAAGCCGTCGTAAGAAAACCCGCCAATTCCATTTGGGGGAACTCAAACTTTCTGCTGTCCGCAGCACAAACGCAAATGATTAAACACATCACATCGTTGCAGAAAGAAGAGAGAGTAGGTTTGGTCACCTACCTTCCTTCGTATCACATCTTGCTTTCGTTTGGACCGTATCCTAGCTGGAGTTCAGGGTGAATAACTCAATCCTGTCTGGATCCCAGTATAGGTTAGAGGAGTGGTAGACCAAAGACCACACGTAAGGAATGAAGAATTCCTCTGGCTGGTCCTCCTCCACGTATTTGAATTTCAGGTCTGGAAATTTCTGGGAGAAAAAGGGAGAGGAAATTTTCATTCCAAAAGGTTTAGATTTTGAGTAACAAAGGCATTCATTTTGTTTTCAAAGGTCATTTTGTCTCTGTATACACTGCTTCTAATGAAAAATGATTCTTAAAAGCAGTCCCGGGGGACCTACACCTATATTTTGTTTTCTCACATTGTAATTTTTTTTTCTAAGACAACTTTGAGCAAACTCTGAATAATTTGCTCACAACCTCGATTAGAGAAATGCGCATCATTGTCACTGGTATTTTCATCACGAGGCAGGTGCACAGACTTGTTCCTGTTCCTCCTTCAAAGTCACTCGATCTCAATGAACCACGGCAGACTACTGCAGAGTCTCTGTGGTTCAGGTGATCAAGCATGCTACTCCCTAATTCCATGCCACCTACCCGGAGCCGGTCTCTAGGCCACTGTAGTATGCCCTGCTTGATGATGTCGAGCACTTGGTGGACCGTCAAGTTGTGGTGCTCATTCTGCTCAAGTCTCTGCGTGAAATAGGCAAGGACCTGGACGGACAGTAGCAATGTGAGGAATCATTCTAAAATACAGGAAAATTCACGTTGCCTGAGGATGGATGCTGAGAATTCCTGAGGATTTGTCTTATGTGAGTCACACTATCACATCTATTGTACGAGTCAGTCAGGTGCTATTTGATTCAAGATGATTCGGTTGCAATACAATCAAAGATGACACGAACTCTCACAACTTACTGTGTCGATATTCTGGATGATGTCATAGAACTTGGCATGCGTCTTGAACCCAGAAAACCTCTCGCACTTGTAGAGGAGCGTGTAGATGAGGTGGGGATTGTGGGGCAACATGTTAGTCAGACAGGAGTTGATGATCTCCAAGACCATGCGGATGCTATCCTCCAAGACAGCAAGATCGGAAAGCTGACCAGAGAAATAAGACAGCAACATGTAGTGTTTAAAATGTGAACATAACAATTAGGGCACAGGGTCATTGCTAATCCTGCCTGTTGGGCCTTATTAAGTTTTGTTAATTTCAGAAAGAATTAAGCTGCGCAGCACAAAAATAAACAGGTTACAGCATTACATGAACACTTACAAACTGGATCATTTGTTGTTCTTGGACGTGAAAGATTAAATAAGATCTTTGAATTGTTCAAAGTTGTGAGTTTCTCCCGTACACGGGATACAAGACAAACGGGGAGAAGTCAGGCTGTGATTGGACGTTTCTCTCACCAGGATCTCGCATTCAGGATCTTCTTCCATAGACTGGACCTCTGTTGCTCGCTCCCGAAGCTGGGTAACGATTCGATCATGCTTCTTAGTCAGAGACTCAAACATGCTGCGGAAAAAAAAAAGGGAATCATCAAACATTTGTCCAAACTTTCCCAAATCGTTCAATCTCAACTTTGCCTCTTTAGGGATCTTGTAAGGTTGAGTACTATAGACGCTGGCCAACACACAGGCATGCCAAGGATTTAGAACAATAATGGCGGCCATCAGGTTGGGGAGAAGGGGGTCGCACTGAAATCCTTCCAAGCCCATGGAGCATAAATTATCTGAGTCAGTACAAAGTGAATCAGACCCATTCTAGAGAGTTCTTTGACCTTTTGCTACTCGACACCAAGATCGAAATCACAAACCTGGCACGATTTATTAAAAAAGTTACACTTTTACATATACTTGTATAACACACATCAACAAGAAGGAAAAATCTCGCTTCATATTCACGCATATTTCCTAGCTTTCAAACACGGGGGGGGGGACTGATCAGACAACTTCACTGATTTAATTCTGAGCAAGCTTCAAACCAAATTCTCCAGATGTCGTGCCCTTCCTCTTGGTGGAAAACTAATTACTGTCAGGAAAGGAAAGGTACAGTAACGATCCCCATCTTTTTGGGAAGAGGTTTGACAGTGAATAAGCCCATGGTAAATTTATGAACACATTACGCTGCAAGTAACGACGTCTGGCAGTTTGTGGAGACATCCTTGATGGGCCAAGATGAGTGGGAGGAAATCTCTGTCAACTGGTTTCGCTTATCGAGCCATCAAAGTCACAACCCAATGTCTACCAATTATCCAGTCCAGTCAAAAGCACGATAGACCCTCAAACCATCCCGATTTGTGGACTGTGATTTGACTTTTCTGAATACCACAAAATTGAATCCTCTGTTTCATAGGCACCAAACTCATGCACCGAGTATTGGGATGAGTCACAATTTCAGTCTTGAGCAACACAGGCTGAGTTATGAGCTACAAAGGCCGAGTAGTATGATAGTCACCAAAATAGGCAACTTTGGTCAGAGTTCTTGTCAGAAGACAGTGACATGAAATACCGTCAATGGCATGGTACCTGACTATTCTCTGAGTGACGTAAGGATGCAGCGAGTGAAACTGCGATGACATGTTTGCCAACGCCGCCAGACAGTTGGTGTGGAGATACTTATCCTGTCAGAGTAAAAAAAAAAACCAATTGTTTCTATTAATATCAATATCTTGTTTCATTTTTGGCAACCACTTTTCTACTTTCAGAAGGAAATCCTCTTCTCTTCTGGCCAAGAATGTCTTTGAAGCCAAAGGCATTGCCTCACAGCCACCCTATGGAATAACCACTCCTTAAATTTACATCCATCCCTCGCACAAGGCCAGAGGAGAGGTTCTTGGAACCTAAGAAAACTCCCAATGATCATAGTCAAGTTGTAAGGCAAAATTAATTTTGACAGCAAAAAGTGGCTGCACAGACTTTTAAAAAAAAATGTCAGGTACATGGTTTCAGTTTTAAACGTAATATTTTAGAGAGAATACTCATGAGCTGGTCACGGCAAGCACCTGCCTGCTCGTCAGTGCTGTCCTTCAATATATATTAAGGAAAGTATAAGCCTGCCAATCAGGGGTAACGAAATCTGCATTACGTTTGGCTTATTTGAAAAAGTGTTACAATACTATGGCCGTTACCCTGAAGACACTGAATCCAACAACCAATGGTAAGAGTTTCTATTACGAATGTACCTTATGGAATCTGCCGACCCTTGATCCGTGAGGGGGTCATCATAATAACAGCTACATAATCCCTCAACTGACAAAATATGCAAATTTATGCCTACTGTACTCATGAATTATTAACTATCCTTCAACATGAATTAATCCCCTCCCACAACATTACAGCTAATTTTACACCACCTTTTCTCTGCCTCCAAACTTGGCATGCTCAGTCCCACAAACTGCGGCTACCAGTAAGAAACGACTAGCAACATACACTGAGGCAAACGATTTTTTTTTTAAAGCGCTAACTCAGCCAGCTGGAGTTAATTACCAGAGTAAACTGTGATGATTCCCCAGGTGCCTGCAATGTGGTAAGCCCCCACCCCCCCCCCCATTTCCCTGCCGTCCCCAGGCAAAAGACAGCCTGGCGTGAACAGACTGATCCAGCAACACCCACCAGCCCGATGGTATTTGAGCCTGAAGACAAACCTATAACTCAATTTGTGCTTATGGGCGGCACGGTCTCTCTTTATTGCCTCGGTGTATTTATTGTACTTTCCTCTTTAATCAACTTTTTTGTCAGGGAGGGGACGGAGTAATATATTGAGGGAGCTTTTTTAGAAAGATTAAGAAACAAGTTAAGCTACAAAACTGGAGAAACAACGTAACATTGACACAGCAAAACAATAACCGACATACAATGTTTGACGGAGCAAACAGAAGGAATGTTCAAGTGAGCATACTGAGATGCACTTCATGAGTATGTTTAAAAACATGTTTAAGAGTTTATTTTTGGCTCAAAAAATCCCTAAAGATCCCAACGAACTCTCTCAGAATACGTAACCACGTGAATATTTCGATGGGATTATGACTTTCATAAAGCCAACAATAATAGTTTGCTTGTGGCATTTTCAGATACCCTGTGAAGTGAGTATCGTTAAACTTCTTCCCTTTAAACTGTGAATTGACAGTGTTTGCAAAACCTCTGAATGCATTTACTCCGGACAAATCCTTCTCTTGAAGCCCTATCATTATAGTGTGAAATCTTTGTTGAGACCGCTTGAACACTCAAAAACAAAGGCAATGATTGGATTTGTGTGTTAGTTCTTACAAATTTGACATAAAAATTTGAAACATTGAAACCAGCCTTCCCCTCTGCTATTCACTTACATAATAGGCCATATGCGTACCGGAAATTCCTGCTATCCTTCATTTCTCTGGAGGGAATGTCAGAGGGTGAAGACTATTTGCCTCATTAAAATTAAATAGACGGTCCAACCCCCCCTCCCCACAAAGTTGCAGCGTACTCTGCTGTGGGGCCCGCCCTCAATTTAGAGGAGGAAGTTAGAAATCAAATGCCATATCTGCAGAAGCCCTGGCGTTCGAGAGTGACTGGGGTTGGCTTTGCAAGTTGGCCGCCTTACTCCCCCTGGAGTGGGAGTTACTCAACTTGTCAGCTGGCTGATAGAGCATGAAGACAGGGCCTTCTCAAAAAATGTTTGTGACGAGGGTGAATTCTAAAATCGTCCTCCAATTTTCCATGAAAATTATAATTCAATTTGTGGACCTGTCTGGTTTGTCTTCTTACATGTAACAGAAAGGATCAAAATTTACCTGTGCAGCAACATAAAACCGTAGATGAGACTGTTAGAAAGTTTTGTTTTTGTGGCATTTTCTCCTGGCTTACAAATATCTGAAAACATCTCACATTTCTCCATACTTGGCTTAAATTTATCTCAAAGCTTGTGTGATTGTTGGCTGGTGTAGTTCTTGCATTCTTGTGTACATGTAGCTAGCATGTTTTCATGAGACCATGTCCCAAGTGGGCTTCCAGAGCTATGGCTGCATCGGTTATCTGTTGACCATGTGTCTCTTGCGTATTTTCAATAGGCAAAGGCCTAGACAATAGATTTCAGTGCAGCCTTCTGACCGGGTCTGACACCTTGACTGAGTCTTTCACTTCAAGCAAACACTCTTGCCTGCTTTTTGCCAACTTGGAAGTTGCTGCTTGCTAAACTACAAGCCAGTTTTGTTTTTTCAGCTGTTTTCCCCTCCATCTTCCTGAGGGTTGGTCTCCAGGATAATCACATCACTCAGAGCTTAGATCTGTCCCTAGTTGTGGCACGAAGCATCTCGCACTCTGTGTACCACACCCGAAAGCTGACCGTAATGTAGAGACAGCCCAATTATGAGCAAGTAGACGCACAAATCACCCCAGCCAGGTTAGCTGCATGTCACAACTTCATTACTCAATGACTCGCTAAGTAAACTGCTCTCTTCCTCCAATGGGCAGATACCCGCTAGACTTCTGTGAAGTTTATTATCCAAAGCTGACACTTTAGCCAACTTGGAAAGTTGCTACTTGCTAAAATACTAGCCAGGTTAATCTTTTGATTGTTTCCCCCCCCAACTTGCCTGGGGGTGGTCTCCATGACAACTACATTACCTACAGTTTGGATTGGTACCTCGTTGTCACACAAAGTCTCTCGCACTCCCTGTACCACACCTGAAAAATGACTGTGATGTACAGAGACAGCCCGATAAGCCAGCTGACGCACATATCCCAGCCGGATTAACCGCACGTCGCAGCTCATTTGGAGTTTTGTGCTAACAAGCCTGCAGAAGACGCCAAGTCTGCGTCAGTGACTGAGAAGTGATTCCACCCAACATCCCACAGTTCTGTCGTGGGCATGGCTTAAAGGCAAAGCAAGCTGTTACCTAGCATCCTAAAACCACTTCGCAATGAACGTGACAAGATTATAGTGAACAAAGCAAAGTGTAACACAAAAGATTGAAGACTGTGTCTTGGACAATCCCTAAAAGAACAGTTGGTGGCATAATAAATCACCTTCTCAAAAGAAACAGTTCATAGTCAAGTTTAACATTTTTCTGCTTTCCGTAGAAGAATAAAGAAAGCACAACAGTATATAAATAATCCACTCCTCTGCCTCATGAGGGAAGTTAGAACCCAACTTGAGCAAGAATTTGAAGTAAGTTCTAGCCACTTTGCGTTTCCATGAGGATCTTCATCAACATCAATTAAGATTTCCCCACTGCCATGTCACTGAACATTTCTCGAGGCTTCTCCTTACACTTTTTCCTGTCATGAAAATACCAAGCAACTGCTGCTTTAACAAATTCTGGGAGGAACTCTGCCAAGTCATTGCCCCGATGCAACGTCTTGGGAGTACCCCCCCAGCTCAACTGTCGCCAACCCTTAAATGGTTTAGACGACCATCAAAACCGCAAGATTGCCTGACGATTTTGGAAAAGGGAGTAATTTGCCCTAACTAGAAGAGACCATCATCTGACATTTTCTCCTTGTTCACGGGACCCAAATTTCACGCGATATCGTTTTTGGGAATCCAATGTTCCCCTGTATGTTTTCATCCTGCATGTTTTCACCTATGATTGGATATAAATTATATCCTCTGCTATCATTACAAGACCCTCTCTTCCAAAGAACCTTCAAAGATGTCCAGCAGGATCAACATCCCTACACCTAGTGACTGATCAATGACCACTGTTAATGAGTTGATCACATTTAAACATAGACAAGCATGAAAACCAATGACAAGGCACCTACTTGACCAATGACTTACGCCAAATCTGCCATCAATGGACACGACAAGTCACATGTAATCAACAAGGGGCAGCCCACAAGAAACTTGTAGAGATGGAAGTTGACGAGGTCAGGAGAAAGTAGAGAAGCTACTATAACACGACACCATTTTTTCTCAATCTTCCTCCCCCCCCCGGATCAAATAATTTGGTAACCGGACAGCCGGTACGATAACGATGACGCCACCTGACAACCTGTCGTCAGAAAGTCTGATCTTGGAGATGAGGTGGGCTGCTGAAAACTATCCAAACCCCATCACCAGGGTGACGCAGCAGAACTGAGCAGGTAGCTGTGAGGTGACACTCTTAGCACAGGAAGGTCTGACACTGGTGCACCCCGGTGGAAGGGCGCACCGTAATCCAGCTGATTAAGAGAGGATCGCACACGGTGGAGGTTAAATCATCATAATCGAATCACCTGAGCAGACTGGCTGGCTCATGGGCTGACGTGATGGGAACATTTTTACGACAGGCGACGGCACCGACCTTCTTCTCTTGAGAGTCACCTGGTGGGCCAGGGGAGCGGGGCAATGGATCATGATATTGTCAACTGGAGACACCAAGTCTGGATGGGTGCGAACAGGGACCTCGGGTGCTTGTTGGATCTGTTTGCGGCAGGGGAAGATCCATTCAAACACCGGAAATACAAGATCAATGATGATATGAACAAATTGGGAGAGGTGGGAGTTCACCTCACAGCTGAGGCTAAAGGTGGATCATTTTTCAAAATTCTGAACATTCTTTTCAACAACCTGGAAGGAGGGAGGAAGTACCTCATTTTCTTCCAGACTCACTGGCTCTGATGTTTTTTGGGGGAATAAGGGAAGGTTTTTCACAGTCACTAACAAAATGACGGCATCTGCAAAAAAGCCTTGCATTTAACAATTAATGGGGGAAAATAACTAAGAAATAACAATCAGACACCAGCGAGAAACTAACTTTTTCTGGTATTTTTCAGTAGTTTCTGTCCTCCAATCCTCAACACTGAGATTGTTAAGGTCTTGTCAGGGAAACTCTGTTTGACAAGCTGGAAATTAGTTTGGAAAAACATCCAGAAAAAAGCGCCTGAAATGAATTCTTAATCAGATTGGAGCAAAGTTCACACTAATTGGGAAAACAACGGAAGCTCGTCATAGCAAAGCTACACATGGAATTTCAAACATTAACAAGACCACAAAGGAATATGTGAAGGACGTCAACATGCTTGGCTTTAATGTCGACCGACGCCAACATCTTTAAAACACTGACAAAAACAGAAAAATGAGGATGAAGGAAACGATCAAAGGGTTGTTTTTTTTTTAGGGTATTTTGTTTTGTTTGGTTTGATTTTGATTATTTTTGCATTTGATGATCGCAGACTTTGATATGACTAGTGCTGTTTGTAAGTGATTGCTCGCCATCATGCTACACCTTAGTAACTCAGAAAGACAAGTATAAAGTTCAACAATTACATAAAAGGCTCCGTAAGGATTTGCATCTGTCACAAACCATCACAGAAAATCCTACCATAATCCATTCAGAAAGTCCCCCTCACCTCACAACATGACTCAGTTTGTGCCCAATGCTGTAACTATGGAACAATTTCTCTCTTTGTAATTAACCAAAATCACTTCCTTTCATTTCTGACAGGAATCCGTGACAGGCGATTCTTACTTAGGTGTGATGAATTTTTTGATGAGGCTACCAGATAGCCATGAATTCTTCATAGGGACTTTGTCAATGGATGAAAAGCTAACTTGGAACACTGAAGTGTTTTCAAATGCAGAATGTGTGTCAGTGGTTCGATTCCCACCAAGGTAGACCAGTTGAGATTGTGTGTTCATTGTTCAGTTCGCAGTTGAGCTTATGGATGTTCCTATGAAGGCTTCATACACTTCTCAAACAAACCATTTTTCAACTTCATCTTCTGTCAAATGGTTTGCTTAGATCCACTGGCATAAGTTTTTTTTTTCCAAGGAATAAACCACAAACACGCAGCAATATTACATGAGCACGGTGTCTTGCAAATCTCAGTATAAATAACCTAGACATTTGGCAAAAAGTAGTCATGTAAGTTGCACTGTCATACAGAACAGATCTGTATGACTTAGTAAGGTGACTCAGGTGGGGCTCAAATCTGAACTACAAAGACAGGAACAAAGTTGGATCTACCTTGACAATGGATCCCTCTCCTGAATACAATCCACCTATGAGCAAGCAATTTCCCAACTGAATAATTTCTACTTGTGTAACCCTACTCGTCATCGTAGCCACAGGATGCTCTTTCTGACTTTGGATTTGCGTCAAAGTCTCGGGCTCCTATCATGACCTGAGATGACCCCAGTCTGGACTTGGCAACAAAATGCCACATATACTAAATCTCAGATGTTTTAGTCACTTTGGCTTAAAATATTGACTTCTCAGAGAATGCCCAAATTAAGCAATATTAAATTGAGGAAAAATTGCCACTTTGTGTTCATATCACTGTGACGTGATAGCTTGTGATGTTCACCGTCAATTAAACAAATCTGAGGCTGTTGGTAATTGAGACAGAGTACCTACCCTCATGCCTGTCATGTTGTACTGTATGGTCCGAATACTGACCAGCACAATGAGACCCCCTAGGGTTATCTCAGAGATGTTTCGCTCTGTGTACCAAGTGATGTTCTTGACCACCTGGTTGAGGTAAAAGCAGGGACCAAATAGTATTGATGCGCAAGAGGTAGAACTGTACAATTGTAGGGCGGCAGACACTCTTTTTGTAAACACTGTGTCACTCATACATATTCAACCCACTGGGCACTGACGTGTTCTTCCTCGACTTTCCTTTTGTGCACATTCTGCTGTAAACACTGTGTCACTCATACATATTCAACCCACTGGGCACTGACGTGTTCTTCCTTGACTTTCCTTTTGTGCAAATTCTGCTGTAAAAACGTTGTCACTCATACATACTCAACCCACTGGGCACTGACGTGTTCTTCCTCGACTTTCCTTTTGTGCACATTCTGCTATAAACACTGTGTTACTCATACATACACATCACACTAGGCACTCATGTGATCTTCCTTGCATATGAAGCAAGATATGATATTATAAGATGGAAAGAACCCCCCCCCCGCTTTGTGTTGGTCATTGTCTCACTGGAATCTGAGGAATTCTTTTCAGATGGGGGGGGATGTGTTAGGTAAAAATAGTCCAGAGTGTGTATAACAATTGGACATGTTGGGCGGATACCCCCTTTGGTTAAATTTCTCATTGGACATAATTCTTTGACTATCCAGAGTACAGAAAGCCAAACTGTTTCCTCTAGAGTTCCCGTGTGCTGTCCATACCACAGTGTTGTGGTCAAGTCCATCAATAGTCCTTACCAGTAAATCACAAATCAGTCTACAGCCAAGGTACAAGCTATGGAAGGTTTGCATGGCTGCCATCTTGCAGGCCAGTGCTTTTATTCCACAAGTATGCACAAAGGAGGTTGCCTCGCAACAACTGTCCTGCAAGATGGCTACCACGCAAAGCCCCTATTCAAACAAACTGTGACAAAAACATCCTTCTGCCATCTTCCACCCATGTGACTGGACTTGTAACTGGTCTGGTGACTGGACCCATGATGGACTCGATTACATCACTGCCACCTCATACCACAACCTACTACCACGCACTCACCAGTTCATGAACACTCTTGTTGAACGCGTCGTCTTCGCTGAGAATAAGCAGCACTATGAGCGCCATGTAAATGTGATGAAAGTTGCGATCTTGGGCGTAGTACAAGATTTTTAGAAGGGGTATCACCTGCATCAAGAACACGGTGACAAAAGAGAAGTAGAGATGGAAACATGGAAACTAGTCTGGTTTTGCCCATTAGAGAAGATCAGTTTATTTCACTCTTTTTTGGGGGCAAACTCACTTGGGTTAAACTCAAACTCACAACCTCCTACTCGCTAATGAAGAAGATGTCTTACCACTCAACTGACAAGCTTGTTGGGGTCGGTTGCCCAACTTTAAATTGGAAAATAACTTTTTACACCAAATAATCCCACAAAAATCATTCTACTTTCTCTGCTACTAAAGATGCTCAACCTGAAATATTAAATGGTGAACCTTTCCTCGGTAAAAATTGATTGCGCAAAGTTCTCGGGGTGACTGGAGTTTAGAAAAAGACGGACAGAGCTGGAGTCTTTGAAAATTTTGTGGAGAACTGGCTCATGTTATCTGGATTTTCAAATATTCACATGGTGATTATGAGACTAATCGAAGCTCACCAGTTGGTCTATGTTTGTCTTGGACAGGATGTAGGTCCTGAAGTTCAGGTTCTGATGCAGGAGGGAATACAGGAGCAAGGTGGCTTGGTCCTCTTTGAGATGGCTACAGAAAGCATCGTAGAGATTGGCAAAGTTGGTCTTGAACGGAGGCACCAAAGCCCCTGGTGTACCCCCGTCTGATGTGTTGAAAGAAAAAAAGCACGACGATCTTGAGCAAAAAGAGCTGACCTCATCAAACACCAATGGCCAAAAAAAATAATAATAATTTGAGCGTATTTCTATAAGTACGTCTATAAGTACACTTGCCGAAGAGATTCTGAAATCTACCGAAGTCTAACCGCACGGAGGAAATAAATTTATGCCATTTTTCTTTGTACTTCTGTTCAAGGACATCAAGATATACATGCAAAGTAACAGCAGGCTGGCTGGCTTGGCTTACCTTGCGAATTTGAAAACATGCAGAGAGCAATCCGATACGGGTTGTGCACACCTTTGTCGTGTGTGTAATGATTGGTCAGAACCATCAGCAGCAGAAGGCTCTGATTGGCTAACAGCCCCCTGTCCTCAGGCTCTGGTTTATGACCTCTTGACCCGTAGCCCAAGGTTAAGACTGCCCAAAGGCCCGCTGCATGAAAAAACAAACAGCCAGACAGTCCTTGACATTTAACAAGCACTTACTAAAGTACACTCAAACCCTCGTTGATAAGCAATCCTTCGGACTTCACAGATTACCTTGTTATAACAGGAACCTTGTATAATCAGAAATAAAAACAAGGAAGAACCAAGTATTATGATCCTAAAAATTTCTTTGTTTCAAGCAGAATCTTGTTTTAACAGTGCTCTTAGTAACAAAGTTTGATGTATTCCTGTAACTAAATGATTCAAATCTGCTCGTGTTTCTGTTGAAAGGTATTTTGGAAAAAGTGATTAAGGATCACGCTTTCAATTTGCAAAAATTTTCTTGAAACAAGCATCTAAAATTCCAGAATGCAATTTCAATGTGAAACTGCAAATTTCGCGTGATGCGTCTGTTCTTACTTGATAACAGCAATTGAAACACATTTTGAGATGGTCTCTTACATGACTTGATCATTTTCTGGGCGAAGTGCAGCTTACGAAAAAAAGTTCCAAAATGGACACTCAGTATTGAAAAGCTGGTGTTTACTGCCAATGCCAGAGGTTCAAAAACTGGCCTAGGAAGGAATTTTTCTCTCTATCACTAAGAGACTCTTTAAAAACATGGAAATAACAGACCAAGGGGGGAGCCATTTTCAGTCGTGTTCCCTGAATCTATCATATTCAATGTAATCTGATAAATGGGGTGGTGCCAGACTATTTTGGGTTACCAACCTCACTTTCAGTATCAAGGTGATTTAAAACATTTAGATACAATTTAATACAAATTCTAAATGATTCTTAATGTAAACAGGTATTAATTCGAAATAAAAGGTATTTTGTTGCAGTTATTTTTACTCTCAGGTTCTGAAAATGAAAGGTTAACCTCCCTTTCAATTCAAGATGGCCGAAACTTGGATACAGTCCATTCTATACCTGCAACGGCTGCCGTGATTCCATACAGGAAGCTAGGCGACGATTCCTGGGGCTTCAGTAACTCTGCTGGACACTCCTCGTGCTTCACAAAATGGTCCAGGAGGGTTTTCACCAAAATGTGGGCATCCTTGGCACTGTTGGAAGGAAAGAGAGATAACTGCTGTGAAAACCTCATATCAGATATTCCTCCGGTTCCATCACCTTAAAAATCTTCATCAAAAAACAAAGCCTTGTCCAAATTTCACAACATTTACCTGTGACCAATTCTATCAAATCACTAACAAGAAAATGACAAAGCAAGGGACTTGATAACAATTATAAGCTAGGATTCTGTTAAACAAAGGAAAAAACTTAATTATTGTTGATGAAAAAACACAAGTATTTTACAAGAACATGTACAATCAGGCCACAGAAAACTTGTCAAATTCTCCCTGGCTAGAAAAAAAATCGAGATCACCAAACTGGCCAGGCGGGAGTTCTCCCTGAATGCATTTAGACCTATCTTACCAGTTGCCCTGCATCATGCAATCGAAGAAGAGGCTCTTGTGGGCAATTCTTGGGATGAACATCTGGACTGACAGCACAATCAGTAACGTGTTGATGGCTTCAAGATGGAGTACGTAGCTGAAATTTCTGCAGCGGCCGAAAGGTAAGAGAATTTATGAAAAGAAAGACGTAAGCACCCAAACCCTTAATCTATAACAATCCGACACAGGTGCTTACACAATTTTGATGGGTTTGGGTCGTTATCAGCCAAGCCATGATTGATTTGCACATGATTCGGTTAAAAAATCCCAAGTTTTGTTCAATGTAAGGAAAACACATCAATTTGACTCTTAATTCCCCAGACGTTCTTGGATGGAATCTTCCTGGATCCTACCAAATCCTTCACTCTGTGGGAAACCAATGGCACATCCTTTGCACTTCAATACCATCCCACATGAAGCAACAGGAGATAGGTTCTACTCGTACTGAGCCCTACAAAACCTCCTGGTGGATTCATTTGTGAAGGATCTTGGAAGGTTTGATAATTTCGGTCAAATCCCTAGTCAAATAAATGAAAAAGGAATCCAAAATAACTTACAGGACGGGTACTTCAACCAGGAGCGTCAGCAACGAATGCAGGAACTCTTCCAAGAGAGTCTGTACAGGTCTACTCTCGTTATCTGCCATGTCCAACCCATCCAGACCATCTTCTAGAAAAGCGGCAGTCCGCGCCGCGTCGGGCACCACCACCGACAGATGCTGGACAATACGCCCCTCAGAGAAATTCTCCAGAAGGTACTTTAGGGAACTCCGGATGATGAAGAGGGCATTGTACGTCTGCCAGACAAAGACATGGCTTGGATGGGGAGGAAAACGAGGAAGGGAAGGCAGTGAGAATTATCCCCTGCAACGCTCTACCAAAACACTTTTGGAACTCCACAAAAATTACTCAAAATCAGAAAGTGATGACAATTTTACTCGTGCTATGTAATTTTGATGCCTTTCCATGATACATGTTTATGAACAGCCACAAATTGGTTACAGAGAAAAAGACAGTATTTGCTGTATAGTCCATTACAAACCCACAATAGGCAGGATTATCGTATTTCACTAAAAAGACACCAAATTACAAGGTGATGAAATATCCAACAAACGAGCATCAACCACAGCTACTGAAGATCCAAAGAAATATTTTGCCTTCATGTTGCTTCAGAAAAAGGCACTTCTTGCAGCTAGTCAACAATGTTACAAGACCTTGAAGCAAAGAAGCAACATATCTCAGCATAGGTACAGGTTAAAGGTCTCAGATCAAATTCTGGTGAGACATCTTACTCTTCTTTCTGTGTTGAAGTCTTGAGCTCTGCAACCCTCTTCAAGAATACTCGGATTAACGTACACAGGTTACCAGACTGCAAGTTGTTTTGGGCTGTAGAACAAGAAAAGTCAGATTGGAAAACGTCAGGAAAAATCTCCTCAAACGTGTACATCACCTTTTTGACAAATTCTCTAGTCTCCTTTTATGCAAAAAATTCTTATTCGCAACAAAACTAGGGAACTCATTTATTTGATTTTTAAGATTTGACAAGATAAAAATGTTATTTGAATGACGTCTTTGTCCAAGTGCATGAATCAAAATAAACAAACTGCTGACTTCTCCAACGATGGACAATAGTGACTGTATACTGTCAACAATGTCTTATTTAGCGTAAGCTCCATGTGAACGTGAGAGGTACACACCAAGCATCTTGCACAAGTGCAGTGTGGATTCCTCCAACAGGCGAGCGTCTGAGCTACAGTGAGGAACTCGGAAGGAGTACGACAACAACTGGTTCCAGAACGGATCCTTCTCCGACACCACCTCTTTGCCCACAAACCGCTGCAGGAAGGGATTGGTGGTCAGCTCGCTGAAGCTGCTGCTGTTGGCTCCCATGGTTGTTGCTAGGCAACAGTAGTCAATACCCCTTGGTGACACTTGTGAGTTTGGGTCGAGAGGCCAAGATGGGCAAAAAAGAGAGTTACCGTGGCAACAAGAATGCCACAAATATTTCCTGCAACAAATGCAGATATGAAAATAGAAAACTAAATTAATCGAGGCTCAGGCCTTGAATTTGGCATTGGTGGACTGGCTGAAATAAAGGGCAGTAATGCCAACCGTGAGGGCATTAATACCATCAGCGTACCAAAGTTCTGGGCATTAATGCTATCCCGATTTTTGTTTATATCGCATGAAAATGATTCAGGGTCTACGAAAAAGTAGAATACGAATTATACTTAACATGTCAGTTGTAAGTGTCAAATCAGCAGCCGAGTGTCGAAAGGCTTCGGCCTGTTTTGACTGCAGCCGTTCTTTCCTCGGCATTTTGCGTACCACAAAAACTGACCAGGCCAGTGATTTTGCACACAACGTACGTGAGAATTAATCAGGGTAGTCCCGATCATCATGTATGTACAGTTCGGATCACTAAACTGCAAACACTACATTGCGGTGTTAGTTAAAATACTGCCCCAACCATACAATTGTCCCATGTGCATGAAAAACGTGGAGCTCTCGGTATGCCAATAACATGTACACGTTGATGAGCACTTGTTCTAGACTAACATTACTGCATGGTACATTAAAATGCTTGGCTTGGGCATGCGCTGTTAAGTCGTTGGATAGGCCGGCGGGTGTCGCCTGTGCAGTGCTTGCGATTGTGCAGTGTGCATGGAGTGGGCCGGGTCACGTGTATTTGTACAATATCCCCATATACACACAGTGCACATGGATATGTGGATATGGGCAAAATACATGTGAATTTCACCATTTTAATAATAAATAAGCTGAATAAACCTCCCCAGCTGACATGTGTTATGATATTACCTCATCAAGATGGGATGAATGAAATCTTTTTTGTGCAAAATGTTTGTGATGACAGGGTAAGTTGGCAAAAGAGCTGAAATTTTGCTAAAGCGGGTTGTACAGTGCTATCTATAACTTGGTGTATGGTTTGTGAAAACCTTTCAGTTCTGGAAGTAGTACATGTAATCATGGTAATTGGCGTGGTTTTTGGCCACATTTGAGGTGACAACTGTGCGATATAAGTTTTTATAATAACTCCCAGAGGGGCATTAATAAGACATGTGCAAAATTTTTTAAAAATAAAAGGAGTTCTATGCCCAATTGGCCACCCTGACCAGGGTTTATTTTGGTCAACAAAAATAGGCCTTAGCTAAGTCTTACTCAGTCATGTGTCAGTCCCCAAAAGTCTCCCTGAAATTGAAACCAAAACGTTTCTCTTCCTCCAAGCGGCACTTCAGCATAACCACATATCATTAATATGTACAAACCGAAAGAAAATGCACCAAAAACGTGCACTTCAGCTTTAAAAGCTTCACTCTAAACTTAAGAATAAGAGCGAGTGATAAGACCAAGAAATCTTTAGAGAATAGTCTGGTACCTCTCACGACGAGAGATATTCGTGGCCACAAATCACACGCGAACCTAGCTACCAAACCAAAAAACCCAATTTCTCATCCAAAATCTAGCTGGAAATTTCGTCTCCAAATTGCAAGAAATGGCAGGAATCACCTCTTCAAAAGTCTACTTATGAATAATCAACACCTAGTATTAGCACAATTTCAAACTGCAAGGTTTACTCTGGCTGTAAAACTAACCACAGTTTCAGGCGACACGTAGCACTTCTTACATGGCCAAACTGTCGTCACGAACAAAATGGCTCCCTTTGATACAGTTAACTTCCGGTGAGGTCATCTAGGTCACTTCACAAAGGAAATATCCCCCTAGCCTTTTTTCAAGACGCGCGCAACGCGGCAATAGTCAAACATTGCAAAAAACTCTGGAAAAAAAAGAGGAAAAAAATTGTTTTTCATATTATTTTGTGCAGTCTCTTATATGCATTTTCAAAAGAAATGATAAATAGTAAATGAAAACTCGCACTTCCTTACCAACTAGATTTCCCCCCAGGTCAACATATCCAAATGTTTCAAATAGCAGTCCAAATATATTTTTGACCATTTGACAAGCAACACAAAGCAATAATTCAATAAGAAACAACACTTTTTTCTGTTACAGAGTTGTTAGTTTATTTCCATCTTTTTTCCGCACCACAGTGGTATTTCTTCAAAGTTGTCACTGTGAAACAACGTGAGGTTGTAGACAATGCTCACAGTGTGCTTTTGTAAATTTTCCAAGCAAGGAAACCAAATCTCAGCCAAGACTACCAAGCCAGTGGTGTCTCTATTCCGTTGAGTTTCCTAGCTTGATAACACAGAAGGCCCTGCGATGATAATGCACTATCAAATGGCAGCATTTTGACTTTGGTGCTGGATTTGAAATTCTAAATTCAAAAATGGTCAGGCATAATAACCATCTTTGTAATATCCGATCCAATTTGCACTGCCTGCTTCAGTGCCATCTTGTGCACAGGTCATAGCATCTGTTACCTTTTTTAAAATTAGTGCCTAGTTAATGTAGAATTCCTTAATTTCAAGAGGACAAACACGGGCTAGGAACAACTGACCCTCAAGTTTGTTCCAAGTCCCTACCCGACGATATTCAGGTTGCTTACTGCGGATGAAGAGACTAACCTATAGTTTCCTGCACGCAAGGTGGACTTGGAGTTGACACGTATTGCACAGACCACTGTGGCAGTTTGAGTTAACTTCTTTGCTTTTTCCTTCCAATGAATGTGTCCACTGGGTACACTTAGAACGTTTCCAGTGGTTTTGAAATGTTGGGCCTCGCATTTGTTTCTTTTCCCCCTTGTTGGGAGCAAATTTTTATCAACTCCAGATGGCTTGAAAGAATTAATATGTCATCTATTCCTACTACAACTCCCCGAACGATCTTCAACATATTCTCCGTTTTCCTGGGACAACATACTTCAATCTGTTTGATGTCTTATGCCCCATTACATTGAGCATTTTTTCCTGCAGATGGATTTCAAGAGTACAATTATTTTATTATTTTTTTGAATTGAACTTTTACAGAGTAATTTGTCTTGCCTGACAATTTGAGCTTTTCACAGACACTATAGTCTGTTGGGTCATTTTGTGCACGAGCTAGGATGTGTCCAAATGGACTGGCTGTAGCTTACAGCAACACACCTAGCTATGAAAAGTGGCTACAGCCACTGACAGGCAACTTCCACAGGTTTTCATACTATCCCTAGCCACAGCCACTACTTTCAGACACGGCTTTGGATGAAAATGGATTGGTGCCAATGATGTCGTGACCAAGGGCACACATTAGTTTATCCATGTATCCCAGGAGCAAGACCATAGTTACATAACTGCAGTATGACAGAGTTACCTGTTACTGCACCTTTACTAAAAATGACGTTGGTGCAACTGTTTTGGCAGAATCGGAGCATATAAATCTTAAAAACATTTCTGGCAAAGTGTAATTCATTCATTGGTTAATACTTTTTCAGGTTAATACCGTCTTCATATTAATTCTCTTTTCCTCTTTTCAAATTCATCGTAAATATCTAACTTTTTCCTTGTTTTTTTTTTTTTACTTTCTTGGTAGAATTTTTCAAGTTTTTTTTCCTTTTTTTTTCAATTTCACAGACTTTTGTTTTATTTTTTTCTTTTCTTTGCTTTTTCGCATGTATTTAAATATTTTTTTCTTCCCTTTTTCTCATGTTCAGTTAACACAACGTTAGTCTCGAAGTCAAACGAGGGTCCTTTTTTCTCTGCAGCAAAGCCAATAACCTTAATAAGTTCTCAACAGTTTTTCTACTTTCTTCATCTCATTTGGAAGGAAACTAAAACACTTCCCCAGAGCGAACACGCAAATCTGCCACTGCAGAAGAAAGTGCCATTTTGCCCAAACCAAATTGGATATTTTCTTCAGATTGTATCTTTTCTGATTTGCTTTTTAGATTTCCTTCTCGTTGTTTCCATTTTGGATTGTGCGTGCCAGGTTGAACCCCTTGGTGCCATCTGGGCCTCTGGGTGTCCTCGTAACTATCATGCGAGGGCCTTTTTCCTCACTTGGTGTACTCTTGAGACGGCTGAGATGTCCTGGCCGTTGGATTTCACTGTTGACGTAAGAAGACATTCATCTATCAAGCAGGCTATGAACATGACCCTATAAGTCTATTCACTGCTAGCTTATCATTACCCATGACATTACTTGGAATTATTGAATAGTTTTGCTCAAATACTATGTCCAATTCAAAAAGCTACTGGCTCTTCTCTGTTAAAAATGCTCAATAGTCAATCAATTAAGATGTTACCAACTATAAGCAGGTGCAACTTCATCTCAGCAAGTTTCTCAAGTTGTTTTTTCTGACTCAAAGACGGCAATCAAAGATGTAGTGCCCCTTCATACACAATTGTGACCAAATCTCACCTGAGTCGACGAATGTTGATTGCACTGTGTCGGCCATTTTGCTGGTTCTGAATCAGCACGAATTCCACCTCGTCACCCGGGTGTAAGTCAAAACCATCCTGCACCTCGCTCATGTGAAAGAACAGCTTCTTGCCATCTCCGGGGTCATAGTTCAAGAAGCCAAACTGTCCAAAAGAGAAATGTTTAGATGTTCAACTGAAAACCTCCTTATAAAAGGGTGATGGTGGATGGTTTGTTGGTTGATGGTTAGAGGAGTGATGGCTGACAGGGTTACAGGTGATTGGTTAGTTGGTGGTTGATAGGTTGGTGGTTAATGGTTGATGAATTTGGGAATGATGGTTGATGGTTTGATGGTAAGAGGAGTGATGGTTGATGGATTGATGGGTGATGGTTTGATGGTTAGAGTAGTGATGGTTGATGGATGAACAGGTGATGGTTGATGGTTTGATGGTTAGAGAAGTGATGATTGATAGGTGATGGTTTGATGGTTAGAGTAGTGATGGTTGATAGATGAACAGGTGATGGTTGATGGTTAGAGTAGTGATGGTTGATGGATTGATAGGTGATGGTTTGATGGTTAGAGTGGTGATGGTTGATGGACTGATAGGTGATGGTTTGATGGTTAGAGTAGTGACAGTTGATGGATTAACAGTTGATGGTTGATGGTTTGATGGTTAGAGAAGTGATGGTTGATGGACTGATAGGTGATGATTGTTTGATGGTTGAGGCAAAGGTTGGGAGAGTTGGGAACAAGACTGTAGTCTGTGCATACATGTCCTTTGATGCAGTCCACGTGAGTGCGTAGGATCTTCCTGATGGTGACCACACTGCATGCCCACTCCTTGCCGTTATCAGATGATGAACCCAGCTGAAACTGCACTGGGTCTCCTTTCTGTAAGAAATCATGCTTGTCCGACAGGCTGATGATGCAATATGGGTAGACGGCACCCTCACTGTCATCTGAAGAATGTAGATAAGGCAATAACTGGTAAACATTTCGGTAGAACTGTAGCAAAACTGAACACTGAATGAGTAAAATTCCACAATTATTCTCTTAATTTCTTCAACAAGAACAAAATCAAATTCCATTACAGATGAATGGTAACACCGGGAACAGTGCACCCTACCTTCCTTGATGACTTTGATGAGCCCGTTATACTCGGCTTGCTGAGGGTCAATGTTCCTCAAGGGACGGATGACTTTGCCTTGGAGAAGTCCCGGTTTCTTGGTCTGTGTAGCAAACAACGCACAATGGAGCAGATGAGGCATTTTGCAGAAGTTTGAATAAGCCTACTCTAGTTGTCCTGATGAGGACCTGGGCACACAACTCCGATGCTGAACCCTTCAACTGACATCTCTTCTTACAGCTGACCCTTTTTTTCAAACTCTGAATCGGTAGTTTAGTGTACCCTGGAGAAACTGCAAACATAGGTACAGTATGTTGGCCTGAGTGAAACTACAGGTGCACTGAGGCCTTTCCACAAATGTGAACTGATTATGCCCCATAATTCTTCTTCAAATTTCATTTTAAAGAATGATTTGAGAGGGGGAAATCATGAAAGAATTGAGTGATTGACCATAGAAGGGATGGTTCCTTTAGGTAGCCTGGTGACCTCCTCAGCACTGATTTTTGGTCCTTTGCGGATCAGAGAGTAGCTCACTTCGTCTCCGACTTCAATTTCATTCACGTCACCCGAAAATTCACTGCAAGGTACCAAAATTGTAAAATATTCTTCTTTCAAGTATTTAATACAGACTGAGTGACATCAACCGGTTGAAAGCTGTCAAGATCATTCCATGTGTGACGGTGACGGGAGACAAAAACAAATGCACGGTATAAAATAATACAGAACTGTTTCAAATCAAATACAGTCTTGCTCTTGGACAAAGTGGCAATCTGGTTTTTTTTTATAAAAAGTAGAAAAGACATATGATCTACTTGAGTTAAGGACAACAAACAAACTGACATCCGTGAGGAGTCTCAGTAACCCTAAGTTTCCAAGAAAATCCTCAACTAATATCCATTGGAGCTTTGGAGAGATTTTGCAAGTTTAAGGAAGGCGGAGCCCAGTCACTACTCCTTAACAACTGACTTGTTGCTCCTTGAAAGTTCCGGCACAGGATATATGGCACTGAGTTCCTGCCATGGTAACTTTGGAACACTTCAGAGAAGTTTCTGATCAAAATGCCCTGAGAGATGAGCCCAAACTTGACGTGTCCAATCACCTACCTGTAGTGAAAGAAGACTTCGTGGTCGTGATCTTCTGTTTCTATAAAGCCAAAGCTCTCCTTCAAGACGGCGATGTGACCTCGCCTGCTGGTCTTGGCGCTACGGTTCAGCACCACGATGGACACAGCCAGACGAGACCCGTCCCGCTTCACCTCAGCTATGTTGAACTCCACCTGTGAATTGCAAAAAATCGAAGGAGTTGGATATCACAGAATCGCACAGGATTTCTTAGATATTGATGGTGCCACTAGTGGTGGTGAGTTTACATTATGGTTTAGTTTTGAGGTTTTTGGAAGATTTGCTGCAGCGGTACTTGAAGTGCAACGCTTGCCAGCTGGGTTTGATCAGGCCTCGTTCACTTCGTAAAATCAGAAAAACCATAATTTTTATAGCACCAAAATGATGAACAAAGGTTTCATTATTGCCAAAGCCACACCTAACTCTGAGAGATCATCCGTCTTTCTCTTGTGCACATCATGTCAAATGAGTGAAATCTTTGCTCCAATTTGGCCAGTAAATATCTCTTTGCTACGTACCTCGTCACCCAGGTCCGGAGGGATGCGTACATCGGTGTCTTTGGCATGAAATTTGATGACCTTGGCAGCTCCGTTGTCTCGGTAACTGATGCTGCCCAGCTCTGGAGTATGGTCACGATTTTTACCTGGACTGCGCCCCCACTATTGGGAAAAAAATTAAAACTTTGCTATAAATTTTGACTGATTAATAGAATATAATTTTACTTATCTACCATCTCCCTATTGACAAGATACGGACTAGAACATGATTTGGCATACTTCCCCAAATACTAGAAAATGTCTCAACAAAATTGAAAAATTGAAGAAAGAAAAATCATGTTTCCTTCCCACAGAGCTAGTTAGTTCCTAACAGAGGGTTTGCATGACTGCCATCTTGCAGGGCAGTTCGTTTGTTCCACAGGGAAACCTCATAAGTCCTTTTTATAGACCCTGTGGAACAAAAGCACTGCCCTGCAAGATGGCAGCCATGCAAAGCCTGTATCCCGATGCATTTTGCAGCCTACCAGGTTATCAGGCAGCTTGTCCACTAATCCTTTCAGGCGTTTGGTTAGGACTATCTGGAATGTGACTGTGCCTTTGGGCAGCTTCTTAATCCGAGTGGCAATCTGACGCTGGGGTTGGGTGGGATCCTGCAAGGTGACAGGGAGAAAGTAAACTTTTAAAGAAAACTTCACACTTACAACTAAACCAAACAGAGAGACAAAGTTGGCTGGAATGAAACTAGCCAAGAAAATATGGGTGTGATGATGCAACAAAAATTTTTGGGTTGAATTTCAAACTACCAGATATTAAAGACAACTTGATGAGCTAGAAAATAAAATGGCAGAGAATTGGCTAGGACTAAAGGAAGAGGAGTCTAACAGCCTTAAGCTGAAATGAATTTCCTGACAAGAAGTACCTGAGTAAAACTTCAAACAATTTGAATACTTACTGTCATTACAGAGAATTCCACTTCGTCAGATATGTGGATGTCACCCTACAGGGGAAAAAAATAAACAATCCAGAGTAAAAACAACAAAAAATGGGGATTTACTTATTTAGGAAGCAATATAAAAACTTTTCATGGCTTCAGATGTAAGGTCAAAGCCACTGTTTGTCTTCAATTTTTATTTTGACTTACAGAGTGAAGCATCTCATTGAAGTGAAAGAACATCCTGGCATCTCTATCCACACACTTGATGAAGCCAAACCCATCCTTGACAGCAGCAACGATACCCTGGTCAGATCAAAGGTCAAACGGTTGAGGTCAAAAGGTCAGATGGCAAAAGAGAAAAGTATTGTTCAGCTGAAGTTGGAAGGAAGTTTAAAGGTCAAAAAGTCACGGGTTCAAAGCTCCTCAAGTCAGTTTTCTCAGATCATGGCAAAAATTGGTGCAAGTCGTCAATTTCATCTTGGGTTTAGTTGAAAGAAATCATGAGTTATTTTATATCTTTCTTGAAAAGTCGTCACAAGGATTTATAGTTTTGTGTCATTAAATCTTGAAGGTAAACTATGCCTTCCATTTTCCTAACTTCCTTTAATAATCAGACATTATTCATGGAGGGGTACCGTTTCTCTGACTTCAGTTGCTTCCTTTTCTTTGAAAGTCTTCTCTGAAAGTTCCAGGTTGGTGGCTCTCTGTAGGTGATCTCGTTTGTCGGTGGCAATGTTAAACTTGACTATGTCGCCGACGCATAGAGTGTAAGAATTCAAAAGGTCTTTATCTCCGAAGGATAACTCACGTTTGCTGCAAATACATTAAATCATGACAAGGATTTGTGAGATGGATTGTAAGATTAACAAGCTAGAGGACTTGCATGAGGGGGAGAGGTTAGTTTCAATGGAGGGGTGTGTGAAAAATACAAGCTAACTTCAAAACTGTTTCCAGGAGTAAATGTTGGGCCCAAATTGGACAACGTGTTGATTCACTGTTTCATACAATTTGATTTCCAGCACAGAAACAATTCTTTCTTTTACAAAGCAGAGATAATTTGAACTATAAATCTTACATGGTAATGCAAACGGAATCCCTTTCAAACAGAAAAGCACAAGGAACAACAGCGATTCAAAAGGAAATCTGTGTGACATACCCTCCGTCATCGAGGACGTAGATGAGTTTGCCGGGGAACGGGTCGTTACTTTTCTTGGTCGTGAAGCGAGGGATGGTTTTGGAGAGGGTGCCTTCCTCCAATTTCTCGCTGATGTCCTCAAAGATGACGGTGCCAGTCGCCAGCTTCTTGATGTTGACAGCAACCTCCTTGTCCTGCATCGTGAGAATCAACAAATGGATTTGGGTTGAATTAAGAGGTTTGGAGAATTAGATTAGAGTTGAAGTCAGGCCTGCTGACAGCTACTTGGGTGTTGAACTATTTAAAATTTGTAGGGAAAACTTCAAATTCTAACAACATGGAAAACGAAGGGAGGAGACAAAACTCCATAATCTCATACTTATATGATAATGGTATTCACTTGACAAGGAATTACATTTCTATGTCCAACTTCAAACTCCACGTCGTCTCCTAGTAGAAGGTCATTGATATCTCCTGTAAAGCTACTGTAATGAAAGAAAATCTGAAAGGAAGAAACACAGAGACAATTGAAAAGTTATCTCTTCAATTAAAAAGTTGTGATCTTTTATCAGCAAGTAGAAAAGTTCTTACATTTTTGGTGCCAAAATACTTTGCCTCTAAAGTGACTAATTTGACGGCAATGTGACCTCGCCTGCTGGTCTAGGCACTACGGTTCAGCTAGACGAGACCCGTCCCACTTCACCTCTTTGGACAGAAATGATGTGTTAGCCAGGGTAAAGTCATTGGCTTGCGGCTGCGGTTAACTTTCAATAGAAACATGTGCTGCAGCTGGCCCTAGCCAGTTAATTCAGACATAGCCAAAACTTCCAAGAGTATACAACACAGTGCCCTCAACAATCAATGCACACAACCAATATGAATGGCCGATGTATACCTCTTTGACGACATCAGCTCTCTCGATGAATCCAAATGACTCTTTCATAGAGCAGACGACTCCTTGATATTTCGGCACCTGAACTGGCTCCACCATCCGGATCCTCCGAGCTTGCACGTTGCCGTTCCTTCAAAACAATGTAATAGGATGAACAGTCGTCTCAGAATTTCCAACACATGACCATATACAATAATGTGAATTGCAATGGTGCATTGCAAATCTCTTCAGCAATTTACTGGTAAAAGCGACTGGTATCAAGCCTACATTTGTAAACTGGCAGAAGGTGTTCATATTCAAATGAAATGAAGAAATTAACGACGAACCATCTCAAAATGTAGTTGAATGCCTAGTTGTTCAAGATGCCAAAAGAGCTAAGTAGCCCAACTGGGAACACAGAAGTTCCATTCTCTATTCTCAATTTCCTTTCTTTAAGCTTAGACCAACAGACAATGTGAGAATTAGATGAAGAATAAAATGAGACTGTCATGAGGTCTTGCTTACCGTTTGTCAGTGGCAAGAAAAAAAGAGACTTTGTCTCCTTTTTTGAGAGGACGTCCTTTGTCGTACATGTCCTCCATCCCGTAGGCAAGAAAGAAGCTTTCCTAAGATAAGAATTCCATAATCAGTTGGTAGTGCCAGGAAAAGGATTTGTTCTCAGAATGATGCCCATGTGAGGTTGGTCAAATATTGGAGAGAAAACTCGTGAGACAAGATGGGGCGTTTGTCCTTAAAATCTTAGATTTGTCAAATAGGAACTCATACGAACCGAAACATTTCTTTATTGTCTTCTCTATTCTGTCTTCAAGTTTGGGCCTAAATAAGTTCCTCAATTTTATGGAACCCAGGGCGACTGGATTAAGATACAATAAGGCAAGATAGAATGATTCTCTGGAAACAAAAATAAATGCAGCCAACTTACGCCGTTCATTTCGTAGGCTACTCGTCCATATTCGGCAGTTATTGGGCAACCAGCCGGCTGAAAACACAATAAAAGCTCCATAAGGACTTTCAAATCTCTCTCCTCCAAATGATTTCGTTTTCTGCCATGATCATGCAAATTTGCTATGTTTCATATTAACTTAGATTTTGGGGGCACAAACTTAAACAGAAATATTTGACTTTTTTCCTCACCATCTGAGAGTGATTATTTCCTCTCTTTTCAAATCTTTGGCATGACATCAGGCTCCTCACAAAGGAATCCAATCTAATGGTTCTGGCGTTTTACTCACTGTTTTTTGCTTGCTTGGTTTAGCTTCAAGCACCACAAGGCCCGTTAACATCTCTTCTGAGATGACTTCGTTGGAGACAGTGCCAGGGCTAAGTTTGATGATCTTGCTAGCAATGGGTTTGCCAGTGCGGCAGTCAGGGACAGTCTCAAACTCTACTGGGTCTGCCAAGGGATCAACAAAGAAAGAACATAAGTATTAGAGGCGTGTGTACTACAAACCAGCTCTCCCAAACAGGAAAGAGTTTGGAAAATTTATCCATGTCTAGCTGGCTTACCTCCAACTTTGAGGTTCTCCATATTTCCGTCGTAGTGACTTCCGTGGAAAAATAGACGGCCATCTCGGTCACAACACGTGATAAAACCATAGGAACCCTGAGGAGGTTAAGAAAACAATGTGAAAATGTTGAACATTTGCCTCAAAACCACGGGGCAGCACACAGCAGTTACGGGCATTCTAATTCTCACCATCAAACAGTCTATGGACAATCTTACAGCCTACCCCCCAGAGAACCCCGCCCCTGTCCCCCAACATCATGTGGAAGTCATTGCACAATGTCAGCATTTTGGTCATCAATGAATTAAATAACCACAGTAAAATGAAGTAAATGCCATCAAACGAAAAAAAGAAATAGAAGACTTATTGCATGTCATGATTAACATAAATTACCAAATTTATTATTGTTCTTTTTCATTAATGTTTATTTCCATCATAACGTATTTCCCTTAAGTTAATTTATTGTTGTTGTTGTTTATTGTCTTGCTTTTAGTTGTCTCTCTGTGAAGTTTGTTTTGTCCAGGGCTTTTCAATACAAGCCTCCCGGCTTCTGAAAAAGCCCCCATATTGGTTTTTCCTTTTACTTATGTATTTCTTGTTTTTGTTATTCTATAATAATTTCTTGATTTATATATTTGCACTGTTATTGTTTACTTTTCCTCACCTTCACCAATATGGAAAAAATCGTCATACTGAGGGTTTTTTCAAGCAATACCAGAGAAATCTGCGGAGGCAGAGATTAGACACAGCCAACACATTCAAGCCAAGGGATATGTCCTGAGGTATTCTAGAAATCTCTCTTAGAGTGGTACATTAAAGCATGACTGTACACGGGTGCGACACTCACTAGCATTTTCTCAACCATTCCCGTTTCTCGAAAGGATGCTCTGTAGGAAAAAAGTAAGAGAAAATATATAGTGAATGAGAAATTCTTCAAAAACAGGATTTTTTAAATCCTTGTAGGATTGAGGAAGGTAGACCTCAGCCATTATTTTGTAACATGGGTCTTGAATCCTCTTGAAAGTTGAACTGCAGAGAATCTACCGACCCCTGGATCCCTTCAGGATGTTGGAAGATTTGCTAGGATTACTAGTAAACTCCCAGGATGAAATTGACAGACAGACAAGCCTTGTACTCACCCATTTTGTGGAGGAAAGCTGGCTGCCCTGTTTAGTTGATGGTTGGCTGGACGGAACGGTTTGATCCCTCCCGGGGAGTCTTGGGAATTAAGTCTCTGTGCAAAGTCAAAGAATGGTTACCTAGACCTGAGAATCGAGGAGGTTCAACCAGGTGAAGTTCATAATTTTCTTTTCACAGAGATGAGATTGCATTTAAAGCCAATCTCATTAAACGCAATTGGGAAATGTTTATTTGGGAAGTTCCCTTGAAATTCTGTTACTTCAAATTATCATTATCCTTAGCCTCAACTGGAGGCAAATTCCAGACATTTTGAAATCAACATTGCCCACCTTCCATGATGGGCTGGTGGCCATGATGATAAATCTGGGGACGGATCAAGGTTTTTTCCAGTTAATATAAAGAGTTTTCCGCCGAAATCTCTTTTTCCGTCCAAGACAGCTGCCGTCTGGGTTCCACGATCCTGATAATCTGCAACTTCTCCTGGAAGGAAATCAATGACAATCAAGTCCACAAGAGTTTTACACCAGAGGGTTTTTCAGACATCCTGGTATGCAAATACTTGTGAACACACAAACTTCAGCACCCTGTTTGTTTGTCTGTTCAGAGTGAAGTTGAAACCTATGTTTACAATGCCAACTGGAAGCAACTGGAGAGGTTTCATGAGAGAATAGAAATTCTTGGAAAAATTCTTTGATTAGTTTATCACGTGTTGGCCTTATTCCAATCAAAAGTCTCACGGGCAGATCTGGAAAAAGTTGGCTTGTTGCTAGTTAAAACTGGCACCTTTTTTGACTTGAGTGGCTCAAACGAATAACAGATTGAGTGTCTTCCTCAGTAGCTTGTTGCAGACCGTGGCTAAGTCCTCTTCTCCTTCCTAGGTAACGATGTTTGGCACCTTAGGTCTCTGGGTACCAAACCTCCAAGGATCGGATGCTGTGTTGAGCTTGGAATGCAACGCTGATGGAACGAAGCTTGGAAAGGCTTAAGTGCATCTCATGGGATAGCTTAAAGTTGGTGGTTGTGCCGATAGCTGCCCAGAAAAAAAAAATAAGTAAGTCTCATTCCACAATCAAAGACTGACCAGATGTCATGTTGAAAATTTGACACCTCTGCCAATGTCTTGGCATAAATAAGAACAACTTTTGACAGTGTTTCCTCACTCATATCATGGTGTCAGGAATATGAATAGTGAAGAATGATTTTTTTTAAAATAGGCGTCATTGTAAAGGTATGGACCATTCTTCACGCCTAAAACACAAATTCCATCAAAGATTCTCGCAAGTGAATACATGCACCATCTTTGGGGAAATCATGAAAACAAACATTGCATTTTATGTTTTGAAATGTATCCGTTCCAAAATTAATAGTTTTTCAACACATTTTGAATGACCAATATTTCTAGAATACATAGGATAATGTCGTGAAAAAGTGGCAAAATGACGGATACTAAACAGCTAGTTTTCCCAGATATCAGATTTGGAAAATGACTTTGTGTACTTGCTAACACACAAAATCGAAAGGAATAAGACCACTTTAAGTAGACAAACATACTAAATTCCAACTCAAGCCAAAGCAAGAAGTCTGATGACGATGATACCTGGATACTGGCAAGTTTCACCCACCCAGCACAAACTGACCAAATGAAAATAAAACGAACTAGGCCTAATCAAAATCAAGAGGATTAAGAAGTACAAATGTAACATTAACAGCAAACAACGCTAGTGACATCAACAAAAGTGTGGGCAGTTCCGATCTGTTAAAGATGAACCAGAAAACCCCAAACACTCTAACTTTGTCAGACCAAGGTTTGGCTTTTGTTATGGCAGATTAGACGAACAGCGTAAACACGATGGGCAAAACGGTGAGTCATCCAAGTCCGTCATATCCCGTCCAAGAAAAAAACGGCATTTTCCGTCAAGATAATTGGAACTTGGAATAAAAAAGTTCTACACACAATTATCAGATATACCAGATCACTAAAAGTCAGAAAAGGCGTGTGAGTCTGGCTTAAAGGAGAGAAACTTCGCCTTTAATAATTCTGACCTCAACACAGCGCGGCAGCACGTCTGTTCCAGCACCATCTTTTTGTGTGTACATAATATAATTCACCAAGTGCGCCCTCATGCTGTCATGTGTTCCACCAAGATGGCGCATCCCATGAAAACCACATGTTTGTCGTCAACAAATGGTCAGTGTCTGTGGGAAACCTCGAACTAATGGTTTACCATTCTAATTTCAACCGTCTTCCGGGAAACCTCAGGCCAACCTGATACTTCTGTCTTTTTAATCTAACATTGAATAATATGCTAGCATGTTATTCGTGCAAAACAACCCAGTCTTTGTCTCGTGTCTGCAATGTGGGCGGGCAGTGGGTGCGTAGGTATTTAAGCTACAGATAGCATGTATAGTGTGGTGAAAGACTAGATGAGGTGAAGAGAAGGGAAGGCGTTTACCATCAGGGGCTAAGGGTTGGTTGTGATTGGTCCACAAGATTGCTTGTCACAGAGATTGAAATGATAGTCAACAGTGGTCCCTTTTTCTGTAGAATTTAGAGGGATCTATATCAAAGTGATGCATCAAAATACGCCTAGGCTTATCATTACATTAATGTCCTCATGTGATCCGACATTACTGAGGCTCCTCTTAATAAATTTCAATTTTAAAGTTTATCCTTGACTCAGCTTGGCATAATTCTCCAGGCAAAATTCATCAAAATAATGTTGATTTGAAGTTTCATCCAGAACACAAACTGTAACTAATTTTCACAAGCATCTGTTGCCACCGTGATGGCATGGCAAATGACAAAGTGACGGCATGGCAAAAGACACAAACAGTATACACCAGTCTTCTCTTGGCAAAGTTTAATTGCAGGACTAGCATCACGGATTAATTTGTCCCAATTAGTCGGGGCTGCATTCACTATGGTTGGGACTAATCCTGTTTGGTACCAGACCCTCATAAATTCTGGCAATATAAGTCGATAGATGAAAGTAGGCCAAAGTAAATGAAACTGATGATGGACACGTGAGAGATGAAAAGATTCTGTCGTGAAGTTCTTTCTGCATCTTTGTATTGGTTACTTCAAAGCAGGTGAAAAAGACGTTGATGAAACAGTCCGTGATTTGGACGAGGAAGATGATGATGATGGTTGGTTAGAATATGATGAAGAGGTTGAGATGGGACACCAAGGAGCAAAATGTCTGTTCTGTCAGGCAATGCTGCCCTCTGTTGAGGAGGTGCTTTTCAAGCACTCTATGGACGTTCACAGATTTGACATCAGGGAAATCAAGAGGAAGCATGGTATGGTTCTGCTATTGTTCATTTTCTTTTTTCTGTCCTAGCATGACGAAGCCTCCGTTTCACATCCTTTTCCATTTTCTGAGATTGCCTTCCATGGTCACATTGATGCTTTCCCAGTTTATCCCTCCTTCTGTCATCTTGTTTTATGTTTGAATCATCCTTGTATTTTCATTTACTGTCTGACTAATTAACCTGACCTGGTGAAAGTCTTAAAACATTAACCAGTAATCATTGTTTTCCATTCTGTAGATATGGATTGCATTGCCTACATCAAATTCATCAACTTTATTCGAGCAAAGGTAGGTACTTGATTACCCATTAATTTTCAATCATTGAAGTATCTTTTTGCAAGTCAGTTTTTGTACATATATTTTAGTTACCGTAGTCTCACTTGATGGTTGATCCTCTCTGCAGCCTTTGGTAGGCCTCATTTAAACCACGCTGGGCCCATTTATCCGCGTTTATTCTGCTGGGCCGGGTGATTTTTCACTTTTTTCTGTTTTCAAAATTCCTTAAAAGTTCATAACTTCATTTACTGGACGTTTACACCCACACAAATGACTGTCTGGTTGCCACTCTAATCTGACAGACAACATCTATTGACACCCGAGTATTTCAGCCAGGCCTGGCGCCTTGTAAAAAGAGCCCAGATTTTTTCGATTTTATGTAATTTTCTTTTGTTTCCAAAACTGGCACAGTGCACTGCCGGCTCTTTTCAATAGGGGCCAGATTAGCATGCAGCGGTATTGTATCGCTCATCGCTGGAGCGTTTTTGTCCCTGGTGGTAATCGGCTGGCTGAATGCCACAAACAGTGGTATAATCTTTCAAAACAATGACGTATTTCCTTCACTATTGACAAGTGAAAAAATGTTGGCAATTCCCAGCAGCTCGGTCTTTTGTTTTGAGTTTGGTCTTTTGTTACAAGGCCCAGCTCTTTTGTCCAATTTCTGGCAACCCGGCATTGCGTATAAAGAAAATGTACCCGAAACTCGGCTCCCCGGCACGAAGTGGTTACTGGATGATGATTATTATGTCGCTGGTAAAATGGGGAAGCTTGTTTTCAAATCTTAAGTAGATTTCATTTCTGGTTTTCTAGAATGTTTCAAGTTCTGACATCAATGCTGTTAGTTCTACTAGTGATGCACCCTGGGACTGTGACGATTATATGAGGCCCATACTAAGTAACGATTCACTCCTTCTGTTCGGTCAGTAGCTGCTTTCTTGTCAATAAACCTTACTTTGTGGTCTTCTTGAAATGGATAGGAAAAAGTACAAACGATAAGCATTACCTGTCACTGTTGCTTTTAATAACTGTGTACAGGCACTAAAAAATGTGGATGGGGGTAAAGTGACCACAAATTAACGATGTTGGAAATTTATCCGTTTGTCAGCCCGATTTAACTGAGCAATTCTTGCCCTGTCAGTTTGTTCACAACGTTCGCATTTGTCATCTTCCCACAGACATAGAATCTTTAGAGGACCCAGATCAGCCCAATCCTTCCCAGGCAGACACTCAGGACAACCTCACAGAGGTTAGGATACCAGCCAGCAAATACCAGGCTCTGCTACGGAGACTACAGTCCGCCGAGCAGAGGGCTACACTCGCCGAGGAGTCTCTGTCCAGGGCGTTGCAGGACCTTAACATGGCCAAGTGAGCTTCAGACAGTTGCAGTAAATGAACGTAGGATAAGAGTTTCAGTGGATTTATCTGTGGTGTCCATGCCATAAAGATGAACAGAGAAGATGGAGCAAGGCATCTGTCAGATGAATGAACCTTTATCATGAAATATGCAAATTAGACAGGCGCATGTGTGGCACTAAGGTCCGTCAGTACCGTATGACAGCCCTTTTCCAGATACGTCAGCACACTTTTCTCCAAACTAAATGAAGTTGCCAGTGTCCTGAGGTTGGAAAATAACAATTCCTGGTCCTTAAATTATGTACTCATGTCAAACTATGCTAGTACAGAAATGGCGTATTGCTAATACTTTTGTGCGCATGGAGATTTGTATTGTTACATCATAAATTTGAGCAACTTTGTCGACCAGTGGTACTCACACGCCCACGTCAACCTTTTTTGCATATTTCATGGGAAAGGTCCATTCTGTGATGAAGATTTACCACTGACAGTGGTATGGCATTAGTTCTGGTTCTACTCAATACCTTATGTGAGCTCGTGAGAAAATTCTTTGTCTATTTGAAAGAAAGTCAGTTTCATTGAGCTACAAATCGAGTAAATTTGCACAGCACTAGAGAGTTCTGCGAAGCAATTAATCACATAACTAGCCAAAATGTTAAGTGATGTTTATTGACTGTGACCTCCCAGCGAATTCTCATTATCCGATGTTCTTTACTTTCTCTAACTCTGATGCTCTCATAATCTACCCCAGGGACTTTGCACAGAAACTTGTTGCCTCCCCACTGTCAGTTGGAGAGGGTTACCCTTCGCCCATCTCGGGGAAGACTCATCAAGAAGATCAGTGCTACTTTGATTCCTACGCCCATTACAGCATCCACGAAGAGATGCTGAAAGACAGAGTTCGAACAGAGAGCTACCGGGACTTCATCTACGACAATCAGCACATCTTCAAGAACAAGGTCAAGATTTCCTCCATCTCCCAGGCTCCTTGTTTAAGTTGTCAAAACAGTACGGAATCTGTGGACTATTTAACACAGAGTATACTTTGAAATCTGTGTGTGTCACTTTGTCAGAAGCCTATGTTACAAGCTTCTTACTTTTCTAAAAAAAACCAGCTTCTGATATATTTTCTCAGGTTGTTCTGGATGTCGGTTGCGGTACTGGTATTCTCTCCATGTTTGCCGCCAGGGCGGGGGCCAAGCAGGTGATAGGAGTCGACCAATCAGAAATCATTTACCAGGCCATGGATATTGTCAGGTATAATCAAACTCAGTGTATATTTTCAAGCCGTGACGTTTGCCTCGTCACAATCAAGTCAAGACTGTGTGTGTGCTTGTATCAGGGATTTGTGAAAGGCCACATCACACTGCCTCCGCATCCGACAGGACGTTGGTATTTGAGACAACTCACAAGAGACTTGTTTTTTTTTATATCACAGGCAAAATAAACTTGATGATACCATCAGTCTGATAAAGGGCCGCATGGAAGACATCAGCATCCCCGTTGATAAGGTAAAGTTTTCCATCTTTGCAGACCAAAAGGGGCTAAAATTCTCATGTATGGTTTGGCAATAATTGGCACTTTGATTTGTCAAGAGGGTCCTTTTTTCCCAAGGCCAAATTAAGGCACTAGAACCAGTCAGTGCCCAAAAAGACACTATACTTTGGATATTATGTGCTTGTGATCTCTTGGTCACATTAATGCATATGTCATACACTATCCTATATTTGTGAACCCCATGTGACTGTGCTTCGACCAATCAGGATAAAGAATCAGCAAGATGTGTGTTACAGTACTCATTAACCACTTGCTGTAAGACAAGATGCTGGGTCATTTTCAAGATTTTCCGTTTTCAAAATTCTTCAAAATTTCATCATTTCATTTAATGGCCGTTTATACCCACATGATGGACTCTTTGGGCACTACTCTAAAGCTGACAGGTAAAATTCATTGACTCCTGAATATTTCAGCCAGGCCTGCAGCCTTGGAAAAAGAGCCCAGATTGTGCGGTGTTACGTAAGATTCTTTTGTTCCCGAAACTGGCACAGTGCACTGCTGACCTCTTTTCAATAGGGACCAGATTAGCGTGCAGCGGTGCTGTGTGGCTCATCGCTGCAGTGGTGGAGAGCTTTTGTCCCCAGTGGTAATACGCTCGCTCTAAATGCCCCAAACTGTGGTATACTGTTTTAAAACAAGGCTGGATTATCTCCACTATTGAGAGCGAAAAAATGTGGGTAATGCCCAGCAGCTCAGTCTTTTGTGCTGAGCACGGTCTTTTGTTATGAGGCCCAACTCTTTTGTCCCAGTTCCGGGCTTCCCGGCTCTGCATATAAAGCCTATGTACCCAAAAACGGGTCGCCTGGCAGGGAGTGGTTAAAGCCCACATTTAAAAAGGTGATTGTGTGGACGATGTGTTCAAAATTAAATTGCTTGAAATAACCAGCAGATTGCTGCTCCTTATTGAAGAAAATCTTCAGTTTTCAAATGAACCAGTCAATTTCAAAAACTGCTTGAATTTTACAAATTTGTTGGTTCTGCTTTTATTGTCTCAGGTTGATGTGATCATATCAGAATGGATGGGCTATTTTCTCCTATTTGAGTCAATGCTAGACACGGTACTGTATGCTAGAGACAAATTCTTGACTGAAGGCGGCATGGGTAAGCTGAAATAAGTAACAAGACTCAAACATTGTCATCAATAACTTTTGTGGATAAGTCATGATTGATGAGTGACGACCTTGAGGATTTAATGAACGTGATCAAGTTAACCAATGGTTGATAATTTGATTCATGTCTTAGCTCGTTCCTGTGACATAACGTCTATTTGAAGAGAGAGATTTGCATCTGTCTTTTTATGATTGGAAACCTTATTGAATCAACTCAAGGACGAACAAACAAATTGACTGAAGAGGAATTTGAACTCAGGCCTAGGTTCTGCTAATTGTAAATTGAAGTGAACTTTGTGGCTGGTTTGTTGGTTTTTCTTTATGATTAAAGTCAGCTTGTGCTCAAAATCTGTTGAGGAAATCTCTAGTCTCACTTTCTAGTGCTTTATGTACTCAATTTTGTCTTGCCAGTATATCCCGATCTTTGCACTCTGAGCGTGGTTGCCATTAGCGACAGTGAGAGCCACGCCTCTCACGTTGCCTTCTGGGATGGGGTGTATGGCTTCAAGATGACATGTATGAAGTCTTGCGTCTTGGAGGAGACCTCTGTGGATTACGTCTGTCCGGAGAAGGTCATGTCTGATGCGGCAATGGTTAAGGTGGATAACATTAACTGAAATGTCACAGATTTGCATCAAGTTTACTTAAATCCTTCTTGAGATTCAACAACTTTCTCCCTTACCCCTCATGACGTGGCCTAGGTTGAAGTTGGCATTCTTGAAATGTATAATATTTGCATATATATAAAGGCTTTCTTACAGAGTAAATAAACATGACCAAATGGAAAGCTTTTTTAACTAGACAGTGTATTTATCTTTTGGCTTATATCTCTCATTTATGTTTTTTTAACAGCATTATCTCTTTGCTGTTTAAATTAAACTGTGTTTCTTGATGCAAGTCCATAACAGCTACTTGGAAGAAAAAAGGAAAAAATATCTGTTTTAATTTATGACTTCTTGGCATTCATTACAGAAGCAAAAACTTGCAGTTTTTTACTTGAGTTAGGTGGTTGTCAGACAGTGGCCTCTGAAATATTGTACATCGGTCCTTATGGCAAAACAAAGATGGTATAAAGTGCCTTTTTTTTTAAATGTAATTCTTTTTTGTGTTTTTAATTCCAGTGTTTGGATGTGACAAGCGTGAACGTTAAAGATTTAGAGTTTGTAACGGAGTTCAAACTGAAAGCATCAAGAGACGGTGACTGCACTGTGAGTTAAATATAAAAAGTAGTAACAATGACCAGACTTTCAGATGATTAACTTTGAAACCTACACATCGAGTCTGTTTTCAAATTGAAACATTTTTGCAACACAGTTGCTCAGCCTATGAGTAGATTGTGACTCGCTCTAGTGTTCATCTTAACTTCTGCAACTTATAAAATAGGTGGGGCAGTTGTAGTCAAATGCCTTGCTTGTGGACAGAACAGCCTTCGTGGGCAAGAATTTTATCCCACTGGGATAGGCTTGAGTAGACCTTACTGAATAGAAATAATAAAGTACCCCCTGTAAGATTGCTGCTGTACATATGTTCAGTATTTGTAGCCTTGTCTGGGAAAATATCCATGTAGTTCCCTGGACCTTAGGGCATATTGGGTGGCACGACATACGGAATATTGTACAATCTTGTCATTTTCACCCTTCAACCAACAGGCACTTGTTGGATTTTTCGATGTGATTTTTGAGAAGAACTGCAAGAGGATGGTAAGTTGTTTTTTGAACAGTTCGATAAATTCCTCGGTCAATTTGAAAACACCCAGAAGTTCTTCTTTTGCAAATTTTTGGATGGAAATGATCCAGGTCCGTGGCCAAATCTTTAAAGCCATCTTTTGGCTCAATCACTCATTGCAGGCCTAATCCCTTTGCTCCTGTGGATCCGTAGATGGTAATTCCTCATGCATGCTTCCAAATGTAATTGTCATCCTTAAAATGCATGCGCAAATTTCTCATACATATTTGCTCACTGGCATTATCAGCAGTTTGTGGAAATGTCAAAGCTTTTTGAAACTGGGGCCAAAGTGTTGGAGCATTTTCTCTGCTTGTTAATTCGTCAACGACATGCATTTGCTTGCTAAGTGGATGCCTTAACATTCACAAGAAGAAGTTAAACTTTATCTGAATTTTATTTTATATAAATTCTGTGCTATAGAAATAAATGCTATACATGTATACAGATCAGCATTGGTGCTCTTACTAAAAATCCACTATTTTACTGAGAGCCCTTGTTATTGTCTGTGCTATGATTGTGTCCAACTTTATCTATGCTATTGTGAATTGATGGCAAATATTTACCGTTACTATTCCAGAACAAACAGACTTGATTGAATTTGGGAGTTTTTCCAATCATGGTAGCTGAAGAGTCCATCTGGTACAGAGGGTTTCAGATTCATTCATGGTTCAGTCAAAATTAACACGCTTTAGTAAACAAAAAAGAGCCTATTAATGCTGGAAAATGTCATCATCATTATAGTTAAGTCCTTACAAAGCGCCTAACACTAAAAAGTCTCTATGTGCTTATTAACGTTATCCCTGCTCAGTGGGTTCACATCATCTGAACATTCCTGAAACCATCTCAGCTCCCTGGGGAGTATACTAACCCAATGCTGCTGTGTCAGGTGCAGATGGTTAAACATAACAACCATATCTGCCCTCACTGGTACCCATTTACTCCTGGGTGGAGAGAGGCACTTAGGGGGTAAAGTGACTTGCCCAGGATCACAACATGCTGCCACCAGCTGGATTCGAACCCCTGACCCTATGATCAGAAGCTACAAACCCTTACCACTTTACCACATGCCTCCTGTCTGCCCTCACTGGTACCCATTTACTCCTGGGTGGAGAGAGGCACTTGGGCGGTAAAGTGACTTGCCCAGGATCACAACATGCTGCCACCAGCTGGATTCGAACCCCTGACCCTATGATCAGAAGCTACAAACCCTTACCACTTTACCACATGCCTCCTGTCTGCCCTCACTGGTACCCATTTACTCCTGGGTGGAGAGAGGCACTTGGGGGGTAAAGTGACTTGCCCAGGATCACAAGATCATGCCACCACCTGGATTCGAACCCCTGACCCTATGATCAGAAGCTACAAACCACGGGGCCCCATGCCCACATGTTAAGCCCGGCCGGAATCAAGAATTTTCAATGGTTACATGCATTCCAGTGCTTGTCATTAAAAGATGTTGTCAACCCCTCTTTTTCCGTAATCTTTATCACCCCTTTCAGGTCATGTTTTCGACTGGTCCAAGCAGCCAGCACACGCACTGGAAACAGACTGTGTTTCTCCTGAGGAAGCCCATTCCACTCAAGGAGGGAGAGGTTCTCTCAGGGAAAATCAAGTGCCGGAGGGACCCCACAGACTTGCGAAGCCTGGTTGTGACCTTTGACCTGGAAGGAGAGAAGCTGAAGTACCTCGTGAGGTGATCCAGGGATGGTGTGGAGCAAGGGGTGTGTCCAGGGTGATAGAGGAATTAATACAAGAGTTGTGAAAACCTTTCAGACATTGGAAGATGAAATGCAACAAGTGATATTTGATTAAAATCATACGTCGTCGTCACACTTCTGTCCTTGTGCCCACTTGCATTACTTCAAGAAAAGCCATATCTGACTGAGTTGGCTTCTAATGAACTTCCAATGAAACAAAAAAATGGACAAAAGTTGAATTCACACCTGCGCACACCAGAACACTGTATCAATACCCTATCACCTAAGCTAACGGGCCTTATCAATTATCTCCATTATTGCCAAGGTTTTTTAGTCATGGATCACTTGTCATGAGCCATACTTAAGCCTTTAGATGTGACCAAAAGAAGTAAGGCAGTGGTGTAGCCTAAATGTGCAAAAGGCTAATTGATATATTGCGATTTTAATGAATTCCACTCTTTTTAATTAAGGTATTGCAATTAAATGAACTTTTTTGGAGAATCCGAAACAGGTAGGTATTCAAATTTAACAATTTAATTAACCCTAACCCCTTAGGGTTGTATGTAAAATCATATTGAAATTAGAGGATTATGGACTGTCAGGGTTTTGTGTTTGAAATATCTATTACAGTTCTTGTAAGCATTTGAAGGAATTGTCCAAACTTCAGAATTGTCATAATTGACATAACTGTCTTAATTTCCTTCTCCATTAATCTGAGTTGTATGAATTAAACTTATTCAATGTGTCAGAGACAACAACCGGGACCTGTTCCAAGCTGTTTTATTTTTAGAGTTGCTCCGCCCGGTCACGATTAGATTGACACACCTGTCTCCTTGCCACACACACCCGATAAGGGGGTGGCCCACAGGTGATGCCAGGTAGGGGATCCAGAGAGGGGTGTGGCTCATTCTCAGAAAGGGTCAAGTCAAATTGATGGAGTACACTCGTAATGAAGATAAAGAGTTCCATCTTGGCAAGTTGTTCCCCCATGCAGACCCGTGGGCCTGCCAAAAATTTAAAAATAATAGATCAATTGTGACTTGATTTCGACTTCATTTCATGCAGGTAAAGAAAAATATGGAAAGGGAGTATCTTAACGGAGTTCTAAATGTCCTTTTAAATAGTAAACATGTTCTTAAATTCAGTACGGATGTCAAAGGTAAAGAAACAAAAATTCAGAAACTTTCGTGAGTCCCCCCCTAAAAAAAAATAAGCATTACTCCTGTCCAAACACTGCTCTGAACTCATCCACTGTCGAAAATCTACCTCAGCAAAAGCACACCAATTGCTTCATTCTCACCTGCAGAGAAGGGCATAAATGCATCTGGTTTGACCACCTTCAGATCACTGGCCAGGAATCTTTCAGGCCGGAATTCCTGAGGCTGATCCCATTCCGTGGGGTCATTCATAACAGACCAGAGATTTATGAACAGAACTGAGCCCTGTGGAACCGAAGACAAGACACAAAGAAAGATGGAGCTTAGTGGACGAATCAGTGTGCCTCTGGAAAACAAAAAGGGAGCAGGGCCTGCTCGTTTGGAGAACTTATTCAATATTATTTCCTACACTAAGGTCGAAATCTTGAGTCTTTTTAATTGTTTTCCATTTTTCAACCCCTAAATTGATTGTATAAAGCCCCTAGCCAGTACATTTTGTGTTTGTCGTTTTTTAACTTGACGCTTAAAGGAAGAACTAATTTCAAACCCCCACTCCCCCCCCCAAAGGGCTCACTTTAGGTATGGTGTAGCCTCGCAGCTGAAATTCCTCTGTCACGGTGTGTGGCAAAGCTATTGGCACTATGTTTGCACACCGTTGTATCTCCATAATGGCAGCCCTTGTGAATGGCATGTCCTTCTGATTACACCAGGAGGGTGGGTTTCCTCCACCAACCTCGTCAATTTCGCTCTGAATCTGTTAATGAGGAAAAAACACGATTGGAAGGAACTAATCCGAGATGCAACATATCAATATGTCATTCGTATGTCTTTATAGAGTAAAAGCATTTCACTTGAAAGTTTGCACGTGAGTACAGTTGAAGACACGCACCGCGCAGGGCATTTTACGTGAATACTTCACTGGAATCAATAATATAATCTTTCAGAATGTTTTTCAACAGCATTCTGAACTAAATCCAATTTTAAAGCCCTGAGGTAATCGCCAAAGGGCAAACCAGTTCGATGCACTTCTATTTTGTACCATTCAATGTCATTCTTCAAGTTTGTGCTTAGATATCATGACACAGTCATCTTGTTTGAGTTGATGTGATAAACACACAACTAAAATTTGGTTGGATATTTTCTCTTTGTTAGAAATAAAAGCAAGAGGTTTTCGTAATCAAAGTACTGATCGCCTCCTGTCGCGACAATTTCTACGCTGTAATCATGCACTTATCACCCGGTGCCTCGAAGTTATGTATGAATACATTTGCCAGAGGCTAAGAACATCAGTGTTCTTTGCTGCTGCGAGGATGGGAGAGGAGATGTACCTGTTTCTGTGCGTCGGCGTGTAATGTCAGATAAAGTACCGCCCACGAGAGCGTGACTGCAGTCGTCTCGACGCCTGCGATGAACATGTCCCATGCGGCCGAGATAACATGGTGCTCGGTATATCGTATTCCTTGCAAATGATGAAGAGCTTTGGAAGAGGCAGGGAGTATGAATGTAATCCTGTCATAATGGATGACTTAGTTGACGGGGGAATTATTAGTGATCCTTGAATCACACCCCAAAAGCTGCCACTCCTCCCCAATCGATCAATCGATCCTCCTACCCCGATCGATAAATGGTCGGTTGATTGGTTCGTCATTTAGGCAGCAATCGGACTGATTTATCGATCGATCGGTTCATCTATCAGTCAATTTGCTCCAGTCAACGCGCCTCAATACTTTTTAACTGTATATACCACTTTTATAACTTAACCCAAAGGGCGTTTACAGTCTTCATCCACAATAATGCACGAGTAAATCTGAACACTTCTCGTATATACCTTTTTTTTGTCGGTCCATTTCGATGAAGTAGTGATCCGCTAAACTTTGCGCATGCGCCTGATTGACCACATCGCGACCGCGGAACAGCATGTCCCGAATGAATCTCAAGATTTCCCGTTTCTTTCCCTTGGATCGCCGGAACAGAAACGGTAACCTAAATAAAGAAAGCACAAACGGATGTTAACTTTCCCTAAAAATTTACAGCAATCTTCCGTTGGGTTATTAAACCCAGAAAAGGAGAAAACAGGCAAGGATTGGCACCGATGTATGCTTTGAAGTATATTTTTTAACTTTTTCATTCAAATTCATAAATATGGAAGCATGTTGCTGCCAACGTGAAAAAAATTATCTTGTTTTAACGACTTAATATCGCGTCTAAACGAGATAGTTATGTCGTTTTAAAGAGATTTTAAGTCGTTTAAATTAGATAAGTCGTTTAAACGAGATAATTTTTTGTTTTGTTTTTCTCGCTGGTAGTAATACGCTTCCAGTACATAAACGGTTAACTTCAATTTCGGATTGAATTTTTCTTTGTTGAGTCTATTTAACAAATATTTCAATCAGATTTATCGAATGGTGCATGTGCATTCATGCACAGATTTGCCACAGTGTATTGCAAGACGAGAAATTGAAGGCTGAGCAATCATCCTGGAGGACCAGAAGACTTAAATGACTTTTTTTCTGAAAGATGCGAAATTGTGAGAACGTTTTGCTTTTCATAATAGAGACCTGTACTTATTTCTTGCATAAAATGGAAAGCATACATTTTAATTTACCTAAGATCTCATGTACTAGTTGACGCATAAATTGTTGGAGAGCTAAATGGATAGACAGTAAGTATGGGAAAAGAATTTAACGTTGTAATGTTTGTTTAATGTTATAGACCTACATTAAAAATGCTAAAATAAAGTCAATACGCGTGTTTAAAGTAGAAATGGACAGATGCAAACGTTAAAACGCGGAAGATTGCATCGATCAGGAGAATCATGACATTGCTTCATCTATTGAGCGGACGGACAAAATATGCGTTTTCTTTTACGAAATAGAATGGAATATATGTATAAAATTCTGCGAACAAAATGCAGATGAGTCACCCAAGAAATTGTTGAATATCGGACATGAAAGGTCTTGAATTTTTGAGAAGTGTTTGAAGTTAACCGTTTATAAAGTTAGACGAAAAATGTCTTTAGATGTGCGGCAAACTAATGAATATATTTTTTGTCAAATCTTTTTGTGTCAATCAATGCAGTTTACACCTATATATAAATCAAGCGGTTATAGGTATAACGATATGACAATAATTGCAGTTACACAAACGACAAAAGTACAAACTCAGTTGGAACATTTCCAAGGGATTACAATATCTGACTTGAAATTCCTTAGTAAACTTTCAAAATAAAAAGCAGACTTTTTACAATCGACAAAACGTTTGGCTGACAGGAATGACAACCATCGGCTTTGGGCAATTAATTCTCTGCTACTTTTACTTGTACAGAAACGGCAAAAAGTTCTCCACAGCGGAGAATCCTCCTTGCTGGATGTCAACGGATAGGTCCATCATCCGTTGAAAGTCTGCATCGTCGTATTGGAATCGTTTCCCGAATACCAGAGAGCACATGACGTTGGCCACTGCGTTGTTCACCAGGATGGTTACATCCAATGGGGCTCCGAGTAGGCCCCGCTGGGCGATCTCATGGCATAAGACGGCTGCCTCGCGTTCGATCTCGGCCCGAAGGCTTTTCTGACCCGGACCGCTCAAATGACGAAGAACCCCGTGTCCGAATTTGCGTTGGCTGCGCCACAGGTCACCAGACGACCAAAAATAGCCTAAAAGGGAATTTACTGTACTTGTTATGTTCTGGTTTAGCTTCTTTAAAAATTGTTGCTCTTTGCCCGGTAGCCGTCTTACAGGAAAGCTCTTTTACTCAAAACGGTATGCATATGCAAAAAGAAAGTTTCCCTGTGGAACAAAAGAACTGCCTTGCAAGATGGCTACCATGCAAAGTCTCTATAATCCGAATGATGGAGAAAATTAACATTTTGGATCAGATGCCAAAATTCAAATCTTGCCCGAATGGTTCCGAGAATGAATTAACACTGTATATTATGCCAATTGTTGATTTCTACAAGATATTATTAGCATTACCAAAGTTTACGTTCGCCAACAGGAAGAAACTGTAAATTATGAGTAAATGAAACATAGGCTTAGGCATGTTTTACATTAAAAAAAAATGTCTAGAGAATATAACCTGATTGAAATAAAGTCATTTGTTTTGTAACTTTTTATTTGAAAAAAAAAGATAACTTCTGACTTGTATACCGAGTGAAGTGTCAATGGTAACGGCCCTGGCTGGTGGTGTTCGGCCCGATGTATGCCGTCCGTGAACCACCAAAGCCTCCTTGACCGCACCGACCCCGTTGACTACGACCACCGTACGTGGTCCGATAGCTAAGCTGAAGACATCACCATACGTCCTTCGAAGTTGTGCCATTACCTCCAGAAACAAAAGGTGATAACTTACTTTTCCCCAGGATGTAGGCCCCTAACTCTTAGGTTAATAATTGCCGGTGTGCTGCATAACTTGGTTAACCAATAAAATAAGGTGACATTGTGATTTAAACGTTTTCTCATCTTGAGCAAGCAGAAAGTTGGGTTGTTAAGAGTGGATTCCTATGCTTCACATCACGGTGAAGTTTTGTTCGAGTCCACAAATACTATTATTTAGTTGATTGAAGCGTCTGACGGCATTGGGTCGTTCTGGAAAACTTATTTTGTGCTGCCCCTGTCTACGTGTATCTCAGCCAACCACGGAATAGATAAGAATTTAAGACCATGATAAAAAATTATTTATAAATCGAGACAGCAAAAGGCGCCAACCTTATGGGGGTATTTTCCGAGGTAAGGTGTGTAGCCAATCAGCGGCCAGCCCTTAGGCCCTGGCGGGAAAGATTGTCTCGGACACTCCATCCACCGAGCAGCAACATACCGGATAATTAGCGCGCTCGCCGAGAAAACAACCAAAAAAATGTTGATTGCGTGGATGTCTGCAGAGGACAAGCCTAAGAGGATCTGCAGAGTGGTTACCTCGGAAACCAGCATCTTTAGTTGGTTGGCGCACTGGCGGTAAAGAAATGACGAAAGGGGTGGTTACATTAATGTTAATTTAATTAATGACAAACTCTTCATGCGGCGGCATTTTTGTAATAAAAATTTTGCTAACTTGTCCATCCATCCACACACGTAACTGCAGCATTCCTGCAAGTTACACCATGTGTAATCTTAACGGTCAACTCGCACCGCCATAAAAGTGACGCTCACTTTCAAACCACTCAGTCGGCTTCAAAACACTAGGCCTATGTCACTTCGGATTTGGACGTAGAAAAGGCCGATTTACCCACCTCAAATTAACTTCAACTTGTCGAAAGAATAAACTGCCTCCAGTAATCCACCTGCTTGCTCAGTACTAGAATTTTAAGGCGCCTGTAGACAGTGGAGTGGCCTTGACTATTTGAATTTTCGGTCAAGAATGATGAAAAAACCCATGTAGCATCTATTCCGAAACCCTAATGCACGACTCCCTACCGTCAATATTGCAGATCAAGTTGACTTTTCTTGATGCCTTTGATAAGCCGAGCCACCGCCCACTTCCGATTACAGCGCGTCTCTTGTCCCGGAGGATGTAGCTGTCGTTTTCTGAATTTAGCATGAAACTAATATTCAATTTTACTCCAAAAAATACTGACTTTGTGTGGATGATTTCTCGAAGAGTCGTCTTCACCAACAGACTCGACTTCCGACGGCAAGGATAATCGTGTAGCTGCAGGGCTCTCCCAGACAAATTTTGGGTTTTAATTTTAACCGAGACAGGTGTCCGTTTAATAATTGATAGCCGTCATAATCTCTGAAATGAGTTTTGAGGAGCTGACTCGTTAGAACTGTATCATCCCATAAATTTGATTAATGTTTAAGTCGCATGAGATCACAATTACTTTCTACATAAGAATGGCTTCAAAATTTATTTGGCGACTTAGCCTGTGTCATCTACATGTATACTTTCGCCATTGTTTTGCAAGTTCTATTAACAATTTCACATAGACTGGTCCCTATCCCGTACGAAGTCTCCAGACGTCAAACAGCCGTCCTCTAAAAGGTAGGGACCGGTAGCAAGTAATTAATCGGACAGAATCCCGCAGAGAGTATGTAAATGAGGAAACGATGCCCCCTGAATTTACAGATCAAGCAGTAGCTGATAGCATATTTTGCTTTTTCTTCTTCGTTACCGAAAATAATTTCAAAATAAATTGTTCTATCTAAAAAAAATAACATTATAACCACTGATTTGAAATAAATTGCCGTAAATGATTTAGTGGTGACACTAATTGAAAACCAAATTACCACACTGTGATTAACAGAGGCTTAGCAAGGATAGGTACTTGTGTTTTATTCGGTCATACACTGCATGCAGTCTAATTCATACCAAAGCTTTACTATTGGCCTGACAAGGCAGCATTCAAATTGATAGAGATCACAATAGCACGTTAAACCGTAGCAAACTATCCGGTCCTTGTAGGACCGACATGATGAAGAAATGGGCGTCGCTGGGGAGCAACTTGGCCCGGGGAAAAATAAATACAAAATGGGAAGGGGGGTGAAAATGTATACTGACCTACTTCCACTGTTCGTGGTATATCAGTTCCTTAGTGATGAATGCTCCCCCCCCCCAGATATCTGGCAATGCCTATGATTGGGTACATCATCAGCCGTGAACCCGAGAATTCTCCAAAGAAAATCCATGAATCCCTCCCATCCTCGATTAACTTATCGTGAACAAATTCCCCCTAGATAATTTGGGCATGTGCTTTATCTTGTGACGTAAGACCAAATTATTTTAGAATCACTTCAGTCCACACAATGTCTTTTCAGTCATTTGGAAAAGCAGATAGAAAAGTATATGAATTCTGTACCCAGTTAGGCGTAATTCACAAGGTCCAAACCCCTTTCCTAAATTCAAACTTGTTTATCTTCCCCGCCGTCCTAATATTAAAATCAGTTGTAAATATTCATGATGTACTCAACAAAATGAAAGATTGCAATTGGCCAAAATGGACAGTCGGGCGTATCCTTTGTTGCTCAGTCTAGTCAAACTTTTGCATTGATCAATACGCTTCTCTGCTGAACCGAACGTTATTGTTGACAGTACTGCGTTGTTATTTTGATCCCTGTCCTGTTATCATGCATGCTCTTGACATGTTAAAATACCTCAGCGATAATGTGAATGGATCTAAAATTCTCCGGCTCCTAACATATATTCGTTCCAAATGGCACATTTTTATATCAACCGAACATTATTTGCATGTCGCGTGTACGCGCGACTGCAGTCAATGCGTGCAACAGCGCGAGAGGGTACTCCGTATTGCTCAATTGTGAGTACCCCTCCCTGCATAATGATTGGTTTGGCGCGTTGGTTGCTTTGCCCTGCCGTGCCCTATCCAATGCCTTGTGCGTGCGTTGTGTGTAGCGTAGCACTGGTTTTGAATATATCCCAGCAGTGCATAAATACATGGGTCGTCTGCATGCTGGCTGGCTGCACGGTGGTGGTGGTGTGTTAGGGGATCGCAGTTGACGCGTCATGTTAATAGCGCCAAATCGGTTTGTTCAAGTTGGGTTACTGGCGATATAACCCAATCCAGTGCCCAAACCCCTACCAGTGGCTGGGGCAGCCCGCGTGCATTGATTTCCCCCTTCACCACGAACCTAGCAGTGTGCTCACTTGGCTTGGCCGGTGCATGTGCAGGTAGTGGACATTCGCCCGTTGCGCTTGGGGAGGAAATTTGCCGGAGATTTGGACCGTGTCTCTTGTTAGCATCTGAGGTTGTATTGTGTGTGGTGAGTAACGACGGGCTTTTCGGTGAGCTTTTTTTTTTATACTTCGGGTGAGAGCCTCAGCGTACGTGCCACCGATTCACGCTGCCACACAGCCAGGTTTTATCGGCTACCAACAAACAACTGACTCGACACGAGGAGAACTGGGACTGCCGGGAGAGTCAGACTATGGAGCAGACGGGAGCAGCGATGATGGGCCGGAGGATTGAGCTGGAGTGCCGGGGAAACAGTCCCGAAACGGTGGGTCCAGATTTATCGTGGGTTGGAGATTTTGATCATGTTGTGTGGATTGAGTATAACACAAGGAGATAAAATTGCCTGATCCTGGTGTGTCTAGCGTGGCGTGTGTGATTTTGATGTAGTCTGGGCCAAAGTTAATGTGATTGTGTGATGAATAATCATAATGTTTGGTGCGTGATATAGTGACCATGTGGGCGAGTGTTTGCCTCCTTGGCGGTGCGCGGGTACTTTTCGTAATGTTTCAATTCAGTGTGACATTTCCGTCATTTGTGGTGAGAATATGGATGTTCTCATGAAGGTAAGTCTGCCTGTAGTAGGCCTAGGCGTAATTTGAATTTTAGCCAGGAAGCAGTGTTGTCAAACAATGCGTGTTATGTATTAGGCCAAGAGCTGTGCCTGTGAAGTTGGATTGGTGAAAATTGTGAAAGAGGAAATGTTTTCAATTTACATGATGAGCGAGACTCGATCGAGAGTAAGTTGCTGTCATGAGTGTGCTTAGATTAGACATCGCCGCCTGTGACCTTTAACTCTGACACCTGACTGCCTACCTACCCTATAATTAGGGCCTATGCCATTAACATTACAATTTCTAAATTTGAACCAGCCAGCCATAAGTTTTGTGGAAGAACAGATTTTTCTACTGAAGACCACGTCACAAGTTGAAAAAGTCCTGGCTTTTCTACAAAGTACAACACTATGCAGAGAAAGTTATGTCAACAATGGCTCAGCAGATCAACTGAATTCAACAGCCTCCTTCCAACCAACCAGCCTTCTTTTCTGCCTGCCAACACCTTATTTCTCTTTCAACTCTCTTCAAAAAGAATTTTCGGAGTCGGATTATTTTCAAGTTGACTTTCTTTTGTTAGTTGTACTAGCTGACAAGTCAAACTCAAACAAATTGCACCACCAGAAAAGTTTCCTATGCATTTGCCTGGTTTGGGGAGTTTGGACAACCCAGCTCCTCGATGGCTTACTGACGACACGGTGAGATTCATGCGATTTAAGCGGCAAATCTCACCGTATCATGAGCTGTGGATCTGGGTTTTCCAAGCTAAAGGAATACAAAGTGTCAAATAACAGAATGCAAGTTCTCATTAATTAATGCTATATCCGACTTTGAGTTCAATCTAGATTTACACATGAAACAAGGTGCATTTATAAAGCAGTTAAGCATTTACTTTGGAGTCCTACATCATGCAAAGTTGACCATTTTGACCCCTTGTTGATAGCATAATGAATGAAGCTAGATATGTTCAGTCAGAGACAGCTCTGACCTGGTATATTACCTATGCAAATAATCTGCTTATTATGCTTAACAATGTCCAGCTTGACTAGTTACATCCATGGCAGATTTCCTATTACCAAAATTGGATTTCCAAGTCATATTCAAGAAAACTGTAATTTCAAGGGATATTCCTCTCGTAATTCTACCTACTGCCTGCACAAACTGTTGCAAATGTGAACTAAAACGTTTACAAGACTACAAGAGCATTTCAAATTGGATTTTATGAATAAACATACACCGCGTGGCATGCCACAGCCAGCAGATGACCTAGGGCCGCACTTCGCACACACAACAATCGACAAACAAAGACTTTCTGAGACGATCCCTAAGTGCCGATGCCACACCGCGGAAAAACGTGTGACGTTGGGCCCATTTAGGGCCTAAATCGGTCCCGCCGTCCCTCCAAACTGTGCCGACGAGCCGGAAAACGGTGCCAGCCGGGATGTGGTGGTGTTTTTCGGGCGGCACGACGGGCGCTAGAGGGTGAAAATGGAGGGAGTTGTCGTTGAGCAGCGGTGTGGCCCTACTGCACGACGCCATGATGGCCGACTGCCCTGTGCTGTGTGGTGTGCGTGTGTTTTGTATGGACGACAAAATGGATGTGATCAACACACAGCCAACCTCGCAGCGGTCTGCGCTATGGGCTCCAAATAGCCACGCGCCCAATGAACGGGCTGCGATCCCTGCACGACCAACTACCGACCAGAAAACTTGGTCGCTGGGATGCCGATCGCCACGCCTGGCCACGGGAAATTTCGGATCCGACCGAGTCGGACCCGTTCCTGTCATTTTGGGCCGGGAATGCGCTCGGAAAACGGACAAGTTTGGCCAACAAACAACTTTGAATGTCGAATTTCTGAGGCTGTGTCGATGTCGTCTATAGAGGGCGCTGTTCGGCAACACTTTTGGCGGGCAATTTCTGCAGGTGTATTTACCGTACCACAGGTGTATTGACTAATAAGCCAGGAAGGATACATGTACTCATTGAATTTTTATTCTCACACTGGAAACAAGATTTCTTTTTGGATAGACCCTAAAAAATGTTTACCTTTCAAAAATTGTTGGTTTCATTGATGATTTTCTTATTTCAACAATTTTTTTGCATAATGCCAGTTTATAGCCTTGGGCCTGATTTGAATAGCATTGAAAAATTCAATCAATTCAAAAGTTGGGAATAAATACCCAAGGACTAAATCCTATAAAATGACTGTGTAGACTCGTGACCTTGTAGAGACGTATTTGTATTTTTCCTATTTACCATTATTTGTTGTGAGAACAAGCACATGAAGCATTAAGTGCCTTGGCAATACTTAAGAACAGTTTTCATCAAATGTCATCAGACAGTTAAATGGCTGGAGGTCTGTAATTTTGGTGCACAAACAGACTGGGTAAGGAGTTCCATTTGTGCCATTCATCACAGGTCAAAGAATTGAACTTGGACAACTGTCGGAGCGACAAGGGGGCAATTGAAGGTCTCAGTGAGAGGTTTGATTCTCTGGAAGTGTTAAGCCTCATCAACACAGGTCTTACAACCTTGAAGAACTTCCCTGCACTCCCTAATCTCAGAAAGGTGAGTTGCTCGGTAACTTTCCTGTCCTGTTTTAATTTCACCTCTCGGTGTTCAAGTGCACCCATTAACCCTTGTAGTCCGTGCCTGCAATTGGTATAGTAACTGTAAGTAGCACTTTCTGATTGTTAGTCACCTGCAATTATGCGTAGTTGTATCCCGTCAAAGTTTGTATGAGATATTTCTAACTGGATAAATCTCCTTTGTGTTCCTCTTGCAGCTTGAGTTGAGTGAGAACAGAATATCGTCGGGTCTGGGGGTCCTGGCTAATTGTCCCAAATTAACACACTTAACACTGAGCAATAATAAAATCAAAGACTTGGAAGCGTTAGAGCCCCTGGTAAGTCTAGTTGCTTGACTCCACTCAAATTCCAATCAGAGAATTAGGATAGAATTTGTTCAGTTTGGTTGTTTAGGTTTTGTGACCAAGGTGGGCTTTTTGGCACCTCACACACGTGCATTCGTGTAAGCAGATTTTTTTTTTCAGTTGGTAATGAACGTAAAATGCAATAAATCGTTTGGTGAAAAAAGCATTGTCATTGGAAATATCTGGAAGAGTCTTGCAAAAAGCATTGAGTTGATGTAAAACATTGGATTTCAGTTTCTAATCTATCAATCATACAGGTTTGTTATGTTTGGTTTTTTGCACAAAGCTTCGTTTGAAAGAGAATACTAAGCTATGATACTCAGTCTTACCTTGAAAAGATACAAACTTACCTTGAACCAAAATAGTGGTGAAAGTTTACTTGATTGTAAGCATGACAAAATCATGTCTTAATCGTGATTTCCTTTTCTTTTGTTTTCAGAAAAAGCTAGAAAACCTCCAGGCAATCGACCTCTACCATTGTGACGTCACAAACATTGAGAACTACAGGGAAAAGGTGTTTGAGTTACTTCCGCAGTTGAAGTATTTAGATGGTCTGGACAGATACGACAAGGAAGAGAATGATTCTGAGGAGGATGAACTAGACGACGGTATGCTGATTAGAATTAGGCAAAATTACAGTTTGGCAGTTAACCCTTTTGGAGGCTTCACAATCCACCCAGAAGTTTTGGAAGATATAGGATTGAGGATGGTTAGATCCAGCCAACATTACTTTTATTTGGGGCAAGATGGCAAGTCCTAGGGTAAAAAAAATGCCTGAGGTATCTTACACAGTGGAGGATTTTGGAGGATTTTGGAGAATCAAGGAGGTTCCTAGCAAATGTCTAAAGAGAAGGATCACTTGCTCTTTCATCAGTACTCTTCTTGGTTCAAGTCTTAAAAACTGTAACAGCAAGGAGGATGACAACCAGCACTGGGATATGAATCAGATGATTCAAACTCAATGAAATCACTTGACTGACTTGCTGTACATACAACCTTGCACTGTTAATAACAAAAGAGGTAGGCATACTCGCTCTCACCTCTGAAGATTGACAGGGAATGTTTGGCGAAGATGTCAAGAAATTGCATGCCTCAAAATTCTTGTTACTTCACTAAAACATTTTCTCTTTGCTCTGTCCCTTTGAAATAGACGTCTCGGGGGAAGATAGCGGATCAGAGAACGACGAGGAAGATGAGGATGAAGGTGATGTTGGAAGCGATGTGGTCGTGGAGGATGACTCTGACGAGGATTCAGGTAGCTTGCCTCTTCATCCTATAACCTAGTTTGCCTTGGATATTTGACATTTTGACTTCATTATTTCTACAGAGTCTTGACACGGTATCAGGAATTGTGAAAGGCACTGCGTTATGAATCGACTAATGCTAAACTCTTGTGAAATCTCAGTGCAGGTATGCTGCAATCGAGTTAAGGAATACATCAAGATTTTCAGTCAAAACGTTTTTTCTGGCTTGAAAAAGATCTTTTCCAATTTGAGACTGTAGTTGCTGTCCTCGACTTTTCTTGTTCCCTCTCAACCAGATGAAGATGATGATGCAAACGTGGACGTCAGCGACGATGATGATGACGACGACGATGACGACGATGACGACGACGATGAAGAAGACGAAGACGAAGATGAAGAAGATGAGGATGGAACGGGAGGCAAAGTGGATGACGGAGCCAGTGACAGCGGCTCAGAACCAGGGCTTGAATACCTTCAGAAGTCAGACTTAGTGGTACGTGGGAGTATGTAACTTGACACTGATGTGAATTGAAGATGATAGACAGTTGGCTGTCGTTATTACGAACTCGGCTATGATGGAAATTCTACTTACTACACACAGACCTCTGGTCATTGCAAAATTTGCACAATCCTAAAGGGAGAAAATTTGTTCCAGCGAATCGTACTGTACAAAAATCCTGTTTTTAGAAAGTTTTTTGCGACGATTTGTACATGAAAGATCACGAAAGATAGAGAGGCACCAGGTCATCATTAGTCATGGCGTTCTTGCCGTTGTTTTGTTGACTTCATCCTCAACAGTGAATTATGGCCAACCGTCAAGATTGTGGGCCTTTTCTTTAGTCTTACATGTACACTTACAAATCGTTTTTGTCAATTAACATGCAAAGAGCTGTAAAAAGCATGACTTCAGAAAACATACAGAGAAGAGTTATTGGAAAGATGAGAAACTCCTAGTTGCACAGTGAATCAACGAATTGAAAATTCTTGCAGTCCAACCTGCTGTGGGCGTTAACCTCTGCCCTGCGACATTGACCAGAGGTGATAGTTGCAACTTTTGAGATCAGTGCCAAACTTGTTGGTCGTTGAAACCAGTAGCCAGGC